TCAAAGATTGCATAAAAAAGAAACAAATCGCCCATTGTCAAGTAAAATATTTTATAATATCAGCACTGGTAGCAAGGAGCTTTATTTCATCAAAAAATTTAAAAAGCTAGAATTAATGGTTTCATTGAAACTTGCACTAAAACAGTAAACTGGAAAACTATCAATAAAGAATATAAGATGGGACTCAAGATACGACTCCAACAGAATTTTACAGTAATACATGCTAGTAATACATACCTCTAAACGAGAAATAGGCTGAGGACCAAAGCTTTCCTCTTCCGTGGAGATATCTATGCTCTCATCGCATTGCATTTGCATAGCCATGGCACAAAGTATCCGTATTCCTATCAAGAGGGAAAACAACTGCAGTTTGAACAAGTGGCACAAAAGTACGTTAACGGTGTACAGCTTTTTAAAATTGCCCTTTAATTTTATAGTCATATCCTCTTATGTTTTCATAGGTGAAAAGTAACCCTATCTGGATGACAACCCACAAATACAAACGCTGTAAATGTTATGCATTTCTTGGCATACTGCACTCATTAATATTAAACAGGAGTAAAAGTGAGATTTAAAAAAAATATTATTATTAATAGCCCTCATTTTATTCCTGACCGGGTCTGAGACCACGATTTACAAACCCCCAAGCGACGCCTTTCTGTCCCCAGTTCTCTTCTGCCAACACCGCGCGAGAGAGGCCCAAAGGGAAACGGCCTCTGGCCTCCAACAGCCGCCTTCCGTGTGGAAACTGAACGAAGCTCGATGTTTCGGTCGAGTTGTGAATCGAGGCTCCGCTAGGCCGCTCGAAGGCCTGGCGCAGCCGGGATCCTTCGGCCCCACCGAAGGCCGAGCCGCTTAGGCTCGTTTGCTTCTTCCACCTCCCGGTTCAGATTAACCCGCCACGGGTCACGTGACCGACGCACAGGCGTACAGACATCCCCCGCGGAACGCGGGCTAGACCAAAAATAAGTTACCCTTTGCGCATGCGCATTTTTTAGCTTGTTTGGCGGAGCGGAAGGAAAGCGTTTGATGCGGCGGAGAGGCATCTTTCCAAATTGTTCGGTTTTTTTTTTTTAACAATCTTGTAGTTTATTTTCATTGGGATTCTCTCCTTATATCCGTGGTGTCTAGATCGGTTATCTAGCGAGCCATCATTTTCAAAATGCCAACTTCAACCCGAACCTTTTCTCTTCGTGATTATCCATGCCTCTTGTATCTGAATGGATGCAGCTTCCTGAAACTTTTAAACTGTACGTGGGAAAGTGAAGCAGAGTAATACGCGATGTATTAATAGAGAATACAGGCGGTAGAGGAGGAGAATGACCGTTTATACCTATTTGTTTGAAGAATTCCCCCCCCCCCATCCCCGTCCCAAATATTGCATCCCCACGGAGATTTTGGAATGAGGATTGATCATCGGTCTCTAAGAGGATATTCTCTATCAAAGCAAGTGCATTTCCCGTATTTAGTTACTTCGATAGACGGCAGGTCCTACTACAGTAATTGAACATCTTATCTTTTCCCCTGGAAAATTGCGGTAGGCGATGGCAAAGAGCAAACTAGTGCGAATTAAGACAGAATGTTATTTACTTGGATCTCCACTTCACTTGTTTTTTTTTTTAGGTTTTCACCTTGCCTTTATTACTTTATATGCAATTCAAAGTAGCCAATATGCACAATATTCCTTCCTCTTTTTCTCCGCAGCAATCACCCTGTGAGGTGGGTTGGGCTGAGAATGGCTGGCCCAAAGTCACCCAGCTGTTTTTATCTCAGGAGGGACTGGAACTCAGTCTCCTGGTTTCTAGCCCCATACCTTAAATCCTAGATCAAATTGGCTATTTTTCTCTTATGTCCTCCCCTCCCCCTTGAGTTTGCTGAATAAGCCTGTTCTTGTGAAATGCATGTGGATGCAAGTTGGTTCATATGCCTTATTATAGGTCTGCTTAAGCCGGTGTTTTTCAAACTTTTGGCAAGTTTCAAGATGTTTGAAATTCAACTACCAAAATTTCCTAGCCAGCTTGCTGATTGGGGGTTTCTGCAAGATAAAAGCCACACATCTTAAAAATGGCCACATTTGAGAAACACCTATTTAAATTCTTAAAGAGCCAGGAATCTATGACTGGATAATTATGGTGTGTAGTTTTAACTTGCAGAAACCCAAATAATAGTGATTTGTTCAATAAACTATGTGTCAGGTTTCGATGTCATCTCAAATAAATTGCACTCCCAATTAATCTTTGCTGAAATATTCCATTTATTGAGTACGACAGATCTGGCCCCGACTTAGTCGTAGCCGATACTAACCCTCTGACCCCCAAACCCTTCCCTTTCCGTTCCCCAATTCTCATCTTCTCATTGGCCATCTTCCAAGTCAGTCTCCCCAGCTTCTGACCTCACCCCACAGGAATGTTTCCCCCCCCCATCCCATCTCCTGGGGGATATTATCTACAGAAAAAATAAGTAAGTGAAAAGTCAAGCCTCGTCTTTTTATGGCACCATCAGAATGCTGACACTATGGCTTAATACAGTGTGTGATTATTTCTTTTAACATGAACCTTCTTAAGGTAATGAAAAACTTAGTTTTCTACAACTATACTTCTGAAACACTTGGAATACTGTTAATTACAAACTCAATATGTGTGATATGGTTACAGAAGGCATTATTGTAGTTTCTGCCATGGTTTCCATTCTCTGGAACATCACGGCCCAAAGGTGTGATTCAGATCCTCCCTTTTGGCCTTCCAAAAAGGCCTGAAAACTCTGCCAATTGGCCTGAGGCCCCAACGGAGCATGGCTTTCTAGAGGTGGTTAATAGATTAAGAGAAGACCCCACCCTCCTCCCCCTGGGCATCTTGCTCCCTTCCATTCCAGGAAAGGGATGAGGCGGGAGACATGAACTACATTCTGATGCAATCTATAGTGAAATAAATAGAATGCCTATTGTGTTATACATTAAGCCTGCAAAGTAGCACTTGCTTCATCAGTCAAAATTCAATCATTGCCAAATAAATAGTGTAATTTGAGGGCGCCTTGAGGTCCTGAACGAGAGGTGGGATAACAATCTAACATAATATTTTTATACCACCGTAACATCAACATTATAGTATCACACAATAACCACCACAATAAATTCTTTGGATAAAACAGCAGTCTTAATAGATCACTCCTATTAAGCAGAAATGAGCTAAGGGGAAAATAAAACATAAAAAATTACGATCGCCGCACCAAACTTGCTCTCCATGCAAGTGTGTTAGGTTTCTGCCCAGCTGAGGTGTGGGAATCCACTCTGCCGCGCCTATCAGCTGGGCTAAAACCCAAAAAATAAAGGTAGGAATAAAGCGGGGGCGGGCAGGAGGGCCCAACTCCCAGTCACAGAGAACCGGTTCGGTGACGTCACATCGTCACCACTACCCGCTCGGCTAAATCGGGCTGAACCAGGCGCAACCCACCACTGCTTATGATCATTGCAGCATCCCATGGTCACATGACGTTTGGCAACTGACTCATATTGAGTCAGTTGCAGTGTCCTGGGGGCCGTGTGATCCCCTTTTGCAATCTTCTGACAAGCAAAGTCAAATGAGGAAGCCAGATATACTTAACAATTGTGCTGCTACGATAATTTAACAATTGCAGTGATTCACTTAACAATTATGGCAAGAAAGATTGTAAAATGGGGGAAAATTCACTTAACAAATGCCTCACTTAGCAACAGAAAATTTGGGCTCAATTGTGATCATCAGTTGAGGACTGCCTGTGTTTTTTACTATTTTATTGTATTTTATATTGCAGTCTGCTATGAGTCTAACCACACGCAAATTAAATGTTACTATCTGCTTAATTGTGACCGATTCTTGTGATTTTCTGGCTGTATGCACATTTTCCAATCTTGTACAGCTTCTTTCAGTTTTTTTATGCTCTGGCTGGTGTCAGATTTGATGATTTGTAGCCACCATTTTTTTGGGTGGCCTCATTTCCTTTTATTGTTGACTATTCTGAGCATAATTGCCTTTTCCAATGTGCTTGATCACATTACATGGCTGAAATTTTGTGATTTTGCCTTTCAGTGATGTTTTATACACTCTAGCACTTGTTTGCATAGGAGTATTCTCTGACACTACAGCTCAAACAAATTGATTTTCCTCCTAATCTTTTCATGGCCCAACTTTTGCTATTCTATGTAGCTATGGGGAAAATGATTGTGCTGACTAATCTACATATAGTTGCCAGGCTGAGTCCATAGGTCTACAGATAATCCTTGCTTTTCCATACTCAAGTGTATTCAAATTAAATAAATGTCAATTAAATTTCATTAAGATTTATTTTTAGGGACATTCTATAATAAAAGTATAAATACCCTGTTTCCCCCAAAATAAGACATCCCCTAATAATAAGCCCAATTGGACTTTTGAGCACATGCACTAAAATAAGCCCCCCCTGAAAATATTTAAATGCAGGCACAGCCGGTCCCTGCCATTTCCTCTGATTTCCTGCACGCTCCCCAAAATAATAAGACCTCCCCAAAAATAAGGCCAAGTGCTTATTTCGGGCTTCAAAAAAATATAAGACAGGGTCTTATTTTTGGGAAAACTACGGTATTATTGAACATTGGACCACAATGATTCTATTACACATGCTGTTAACCTTTTTTTATCTGGATGCACAACATTTTGCATAGTTCAGTTCTACTTATAAAAGCATTTTTACAAAATCTTTTTTTTCTTTTTTCATAAAATTGGTGTGAATAAAGATAAGAGTGTTTAACCCAACATTCTAAATGTTAACAGAAACATTCTAAACAAATAGCAAAATGTGATTCACAATTTAGAGGGAATAGTTTTTAAAAATAATAATAATAAAATATGTAAAATATTTTTTTATTTTATTAAAATAAAAAATATTGTAAAATTTAAAAATAAAATAACACAGCAAGTAAATATTGAATTTAACTATTGGCAGTGTTTTTTTTTTTCATTCCTAAATCACTACCAAGATGGTAAAAATACTGTTGTAAACTTTATTACACTTTTCCTTTTTACAAAGTACTAAAGTTAAAAAACACTCAAACATCACAAAACATTTAAATATGCAATATTTTACATATAAACATAATTTGTCCACCAACAAAATATTAGACAAGGGAGATATCCTAGAGGTTTTGTTGTAAGAATGTCAACATTACAGATTCAAGATGAGCCTGCATAAAGATGCGTGTTAATAATGCTGCCTTCATTGAAACTGAAGACTTTCCTCAGTCAGTATAATGGAATAAAAAATTAATATACCCTTTGATCATTTCTAAAAAATTAGGAGACTATTCTATACCCAATGTTCAATTACTTAAGTGCCTTAAAGATAGCTCCTCTTACTCATATTAGCATTCCTTTCCTGCAGTATATGTTTCGAAATTGCATCAACTACAATATATACTTTATTCTATTATAAAATAGTCTCTCAGAAATAAAAGGCAGCGCAAAGCACTACTGGAAAAATACAGAAAAAAAAAACAATAGAGGAACCACATTACAGTTTTGCACTATAGTTTGTAGAAGAAAGGCTAACTATTTCTGCTTTCTATAGTTTAAACAAAGATGTAATCACTCTAGTACTGTATGCTTGATAGTTGACAAATTTTTTTTTCCAAAGAAGAACAAACTATTGGACAATTGCTCTTTTATTTTTTGGAATTGCTGCAGGATATTGGAGTAGATTACAACTAATCTGATTGACCATTCTCTTCAAATAGTTGGCTCCCACTGGAACGCTGGACAAAACCACAGAAATTTCCGCATGGCTGAGAACAGAAAATGCATATATACAAATTGATTAAGAAAACATTTCTGATAAACTTTTTCCCAGAAATAAGGTATATACCATTACCCAGAAATTCATCTTTGTTTTTACTCACCCAAGATTTCCTGTGCATTTTTGGATAGTGAAAACTATTGGAGATGTTGGATAATTGGCAGATAAAGAGAGTTCAACTTCAAACTTTGCAAGAGGCGTAGAACTGGAGAACAAAAGGCTTACACTACAACATATGAAAAAAACAAATACATAAAGTTAATAATTATGTATGTTACTAACCAAGCAAAATTCCTCGGTTTTAAATTTTTAGGGTTTTAAATTAAGCCAAATTTATTTAATATTTTTAAATTATTTTAAATTGATGTTTATTCTGTTTTTTAATTAGGCTGTACTCCGCCCTGAGTCCTTCGGGAGAAGGGCGGTATAGAAATAAAATTATTATTATTATTATTATTATTATATGAAATAATTGGGAGAAGCAATCAGCTTTAGAATGAAAAATTGTGAACGTGGATGGATCACTATCTTTCACCCAAACCAGAGGTGAAATGCTCCCGGTTTGGACCGGATCGACTGATCCGGTAGCGATGATGGCCGGTAGTTTGGAGAACCGGTAGAGATGGCAGCTGGAGGCTCCGCCTACCCACCTTAGCCTCTGCAGCCCACTGGCCCCTCTTGCCCTTCTTTCTGGGGGCAGCGCTTTTGCTTGTTGGGCCACTTCCCCGCAGCACTTCTGCTGGTGCCACCACGCAAGCCTCCCATGACGAAAAAGAGGGAAAAAACAAAGCGGCTGGCTGCAGAGCTGCCAGCTTCAGGAAGTGGCCCAACGCGGCTGGCTGCCAGGGAAGGCAAGCACCCGAAAGTTACCGGAGCTACTCTCCTTCTTGAATGTGCCGCCACCATCACCGCCCTGGTCCATGCGCCGGCTGCGCAAGCGCACACCATTTATTTCATTCATTCATCAGTGGTAGGTTGGGTGTGCGCTTGCACAGCTAGCGCTTGCACAGCTAGCGCATGGACCAGGGCGGCGATGGTGGCGGCACATTCAAGAAGGAGAGCAGCTCCTTTTGGGTGCTTGCCTTCTCTGGCAGCCAGCCGCAGGAGAAAGGTAAGGAGTAGGACATGCCGCGTTGGAGAATGTTGCATTCTCCAACCTGGTTGAGGCAGGCGGTGAGCAGGTGGCAGCTCCGGGGCTTCAGTGAATGGCACGTCTCTGGGCCCCAGCCCCCGACCCAAAGCGAAGGGAGAGCGGGTGGTGAGAGGGCGGCAGAATAGAAATTTAAAATGTTTTCCTACCAGGTTCTGTGGGCGTGGCTTGGTGGGGGGGTGTCTTGTGACTGAGTGGGCATGGCTGTGAGTGACATTGAGTTGGCCAAGCCCACTTAGTCACAGGACACCTCCCTAAGCCATGCCCACAGAACCGGTTGGGAAAAATTTTAGATTTCACCCCTGACCCAAACCAAATGGTATAGTGATAATCTGAACTGGATTCTAAATTAATAATTTGGTAAATAATAAATAAAAGTGAATTCGGCCTATTTACAGTAACTTCATCATGTAAACCAGAGGTGGGAAATTAATTTTCCTAAGGGGCCACATGAGAAACTGGGACTGTTGTGGAGGGCCACTACTGCCCACTCTGCTGCCATCTCCGCTGTGGGCTGGATATGGCCCATGGGCTTAAAATGTCCAGGTCTGATGTAGACAATCATGAACATATTCAACTTGTTCTCTCTCACAGACTATTTTACATTGTTTTTTACTGAATGTTCCACTGGCCAGGTTTCAGATGGTGTTATCAGCTGTGCCTCTCCTAGAATAGAATGACATGTCTGCTTACCATGATTTAATAACATCCTGGATTCATTGGTATATAATAATGTGTTATAAATAGGCTATTCTTGAAAAATGTTTCAAAATTTCATGGACTATTAATGTTTTTTTTTAAAAAATGGAATTGCTAATTCTTAGGAATCTTTGTTTGCTTCCACTTTATTTCTGGAGACATTTTGAATAATATGAAATTATAGAGCCATAAATGGTCAGAAACTTAATAAAGTTCCTTAATAAATATACCTTGCAGATATTCTAATATATTACTGTTTTAATTGTTTTCATTGTTGCATCCCATTATATCCATCTATAATAATTCAATGAGAGGTGGTATACAAAGTATCATTATCATAAATAACTAAAACTGTTACCAAAACCCCTTATTATTTTCTCACAGTAAGCCACATACATAAATTGTGTGAGTATTAAGAGCTTCTTTCAACTCTTTATTACTAAAAAACCTCTCTGCCAGATCTGCCTGTTGGATGTGCTTGTTTTTAGGTTGTCTGTCAAATTTTATGTTCATAACAACTTTTTAGCTTGTATTTTGTTTACTATTTATTTTAATCTTGTTCTGGAATCCACTATTTCTCTGTTCTTTTATTTACTGCATTTTTATGAATTTTGTAAGGTTTATACCATATTGGATAACTGCATTTTTGTTCCTTAATATGCCCCTTGAATTCTATTTACCAAAAAATGTTCAACTTTTTTTCTACCTTCAGCAAAACGGATTATGACTCCTGATTGCCTGGACAAATCCGTCCAGTTTTCTTGGCTGCAATTTCAGAAATGATTTGTCATTGCCTTTGTACTAGGCTGAGGGAAAGTGACTGATTTTTCCCTGGCTCACTTTGTGCCTAAGGCAGGAACTAGAACTCATAGCCTCTTTGTTTCCAGCCCTGGACCTTTAATCATTTCCAATCTGCCTCTTGTTCTAAAATGCACCATTATAAAAATTCAGTATTGTCAGTTAAGCATAAAACTATGAAGTAATTTGGCTGAAATATAATATGCATTTACAAACTGGGAAGAGGTGTTTTTTTAAAAAAATACATATGCACGTATGCACAAATACATATGTACGCATGCACGAAGCATACAAGCAGAAGTAGATTAGACAAGCACTTACTTTGTGTCATTCACTTCAGTCTTCAGCAAGTAAAATTTTCCACCCCATTTGTTCAGAAATTCTATCTCTTCTCCCAGAAGTTGACAGCGGTTTACCACGAGAGACAGATCATGCAGTATCTGGTTTAACAATCAAAATAAAAGTAATCTTAACATCCTAATACACACATAGATTTTCTAGAAAATATGCCTATGGAGCTTCTCAGTCATCCAGGTCATGGTTGTCCCAAAGGTGCTTTTTCAAGGGGCAACTGGACTTTCTGGTTTTTCTTTAAAGATGTTTCCCTTCTCATTCAAGAGGTCTGAAGAAGCTTCTTAGATGAGAAACAAAACATCTTCAAAGAAAAACCAAAAAGTCCAGTTGCCTCTTGAAAAAAGCACCTTTGGGACGTCTAGAAAATATGGTTTGTCAAAATGAACTTTTCATCAAAAAATTATTGTGATTTTAGTCTTCAGTCTCCTCTCATCATCCTCATCCTTATCCTTACTGCCAACATCTCCATTATTCAGAATATATGGAAAAAAGTGGTAGAGGTGCAGGGCATTGGGTACTAATAATTGGCTAACCCTGCCTCCCTCCTAACTTATCCTTTTTCAATTCTCCTGACAGCAGTTGTCTTTTGGCAAAACAAGTGGCTGGAACCAACCTGTTACGAGTAATATATGGCTCAATATATCACAGATAAAGGTATGGCTTTTCTATACCAGGGGTCCCCACCATCTGCCGGTTTGCAGAGCCAGAAAGGTTGGGGACCTCTGTTCTATATTAAAAGCACTCTAAAGGCAGCATGTAGAACAATAAAGCAGACAATAAGAAAAAATTGCATTACTTAGCTTCTTTAAATAACTAAAGGCAATCAGTCAGCTAAATGTTACTGCTACTAAGATAAAAATAATACTCTAGTCTAACCCATAGTTATACATTAAAATAATATCCAGATTTTTTTCCCAAGAATGTATAAGCTTCACTATAAATTTCTGACGTCTTTGTTCATCTCATAAGCGTCACGAACCAATAAAATATAAATTTGAAGAGTTTTAAGAGCTTTACTGTCATGCCTGCTTTATTCTACATTAGTGTACAAATTCTAGACTTCCTTATAATTAGTTCCTTACCTGAGAAAGTTGATACACTGTTGAGCATTTCTTTTGCCATGAATTTTGACTGTCTATAAACTGAAAGATAAGCTTATGCACTAGTTTTGCAGTAGGTGCAGCTTTTGTTTCTGGAAAAAAAATCAAGTATAAAAGTTATCAAAACTTAAAGTTATATTTAAATCATTTCATGTTATTTTATTTATTTATTAATCATATTTATATGGCTTCCCATCTCACACAAAGTGACTCCTGGTGGCATATAACAACTGAATAAAATAACAGACAATTTTTTAATCATTAATATTCTATGCATATGTCTCCTTTATATAGTTTTACCAAGGACCTGTGCATTATCAGTTACTTGTAAAATCTTCCATTTCCCCACAACTTTGACTATTATTTTCCTAATGCAAAGAATATACTGCAGAAGAAATTAAAATTAAAATTAGAAAGCAAAGATTCCTGATATCAGCCTGTTTTTCCTAGTTTCTTCCATTTCAACAATATGTTTCTCATGAGGCTCTGGATATTCCTTAAGATAATAAAATACTGCAATCTTACCATCCAATAATGTTTCAAAATTCAGACTAACAATCTCCCAGTAGAACTTGTTTTGGAAAGTAGCATCATCTACAAAAAAGCACACACAGTGTGAAGCACATCTTCAAAATGGGGTTACTCCATTTCTAGTAATGTATAGAGTTTGTATTACAAATAGTAATCAGATTTATTCACTTCTGAATAAATTGGATAACCTCCTATACATATTTCCAATATTGAGGAATATTTCTATGGAGAGGCAACTTGTTATGTCAGCCTCTACCCTAAAGCTGTCCAGTTAGGCACCCCCGATCATTCAGTATTTACAATCTATCCTTCTAGTGCAAAATGTTCCATTACAATAAAAAATACAATTTCACAAAATAGTGATACATTGTAGCCACAATGAACAGTTAAATTCAAATAATTTTAAACAGTTTTTATATAAGCGCCATAGAAGGCAGGTAAGAGTTCTTGCTATTTTGCAGCTTACCTAAGGGCCATTTAAATCCCACAGTGAGCTCAATAGAATCATAAAGAAAAGTAAATACTGCCTGGTGATCATTCCACTCCTTTATTACCCACTCAGAGAAGCTGCAAGAAGAAAACATTACACAATCACAGATTAATTGAAGAGAAAATATTAGAAAGACAAGATACGGACACATATTAATTTTTGCTATTAGTGCTCTTTTCACTCTTGGAAAGTGAAGTGTTTCTATACTAGGCTGCGAGTGCTACTAATATTAATCAGTTCTGTATTTCTTTCTTTAAAATACTTTTTTTCTTTCGGAGAAAAAAGGTAAAAAAAAAAAAAAAGGTTCCAAGTGGGAGAGGAACCTTCATTCCAGGAAGGAATAAGAATTCTTTAGTCAAAGTCTTGTGCAGAAGATCCAAAACAAACTCAGACTTTCACAGATTAGGAGAGAATTTCTAGCAACATCAGTGTCTCTTTAAGATTGTAAGATTAAGTCAATTAGATTGGTCTAGTGGTTAAGGCACAGGTTAGAAAGTGAGGGATGATGAGTTAAAGGCCCACCTTTGTTATGAAAGCCACCTGGGTGACCTTGGGCCTCTCAGTTCAACCCACCTTGCAGGATTGTTGTTATGGGGAAAAGAGGAAGAGGAAAGTATATTGAATATGTTTACTGCCTTTTGTTATTTGTAAAAATAATAAAGGCGAGATACAAGTAAAATAAAAATAACATAAAATAAACACTGTCAGTTAACTTTAAAACCATGCAGAGACTTGCCTATATACACATCCCAACATAAATACTGAAACAGAGAACTTGGTCTGTTAACTATTGTTGGCAAACTCATGAGTTTTATTTTCCTAGACTATTTTATCAACATAAAATAGTTTTTTAGAATGAGTAATTATATTGTCATCTCTCAATGAGAATGAACAGTAGTCATGAAATAATCAAATTAAAATTTAGACAATTCTCTGTCAATTGAGACCATCTTGTGATCACAGTTAAGTTCCCAAAGGGACAGCATATATTGGGACAGTTATAATTAGAGGATGAATGGCATTACAAGAAAATCCTCTTTAATTTACTTACTTGTATTTCTCGGTAAGTTCTTGGCAACTTCTTACGTCTCTTTGAAGCTGGTTGATTTCAGACGTTATCTGTTGTTTTTTATCACTAAGATCTGATTGGTCTCTGCAAAAATGCAACATGTGAATAAAATAGTGGTGTTGAAAGGCGACATATTTTATAGGTTGCAAATATGGGGTATTTTGGTGTTAAATATTACCTTTGAAGATTATCTTCTTGGGATTTGTAATTTTCTAGTTCTAAAATTAAAGAAAAATACTTTTGAAATCTGGCAATAGAATACAAATAAAGCTATTTATTCTAATTAAACACATCCAGTCCCAAATAATTCTATTTTTCCTTCCAAGATAAAATTATTGGAACTTCCATGCAGCTGTAATTTCCATTCCATTCTCCAATCCCTCAAAAGTAGGTAATGCTAATATGCAATTGTGTTCATGCCTGCAAATTTTGTGCAATACTAAGAACAAGCGTCCCATCCTAAGCAGCTCCAGGACTCCAGAAAAAGATTATTTCACTTTCTCCACTCCAAGGGACACAACATAAGTAAAATAGCTTGCCTATCCTTACTTCATATAGTATGAGTTTATCTGGTCATCTGCAAATATTCGGAGTGATTATTAAAGGGTGGGCAGAGGGAGCAAATCCTGAAAGATCTGTTAGGACAATTTAATTTTAGAAGACAATGTGAAATGACAGTCCTTGCAAATAGGAAATAGACCATCCACAAACTCAACAGAGCTGCAACATTTTCAAAGGAAATATTAATTTTGCTATATTTAAATAAAATGCAGCCAAGTCAGAAATAAATTAGTTCAGCCTGGAAAGGTGGAAAGGGTACCCCTCTATAGAGGCCTCCTGGGTGGCAGAGAAGGACATGCAGGCCACCCGACTACTCGAAAGTTTTACAAAACCTATCCCCACAAATCAGGGGGGAGGGATGGAATCCAGGGACCCATGACAAGCAACCACGACTAATATATATGTGCTTACTGTCTTCCAGGTACAGCCCTAGTAGGGGGAGCCGCTTGTCAAACTCCAACCGGTTTACCATACCTGGGGGAGAGGGGGGAATTGGAGAGTGAGGCAGCAGGAACAGCTGAGCGGCGGCTTGCCGGGCAGTGGCTCTGACAGCGACAAGGTTTACAGCTGGGACAGCTTCGACTTCTACCGGGTTCGGCGGCAATGGCAGTGTTACCACATGCAGAGCTGACCGGTGGCCTCCCGGAACCCAGCTGGCCGGCACTGGATGCAATGGCGTAATGGAGCAACAGCAGGCTACAGACCAGGGGATAGACTGGGGCACCGGATGATGGGAGATGACCGAGCTGCCTGCTGTAAAGGAACTGGATGCTGATGCTGGATGGTGGTTGAGTGGGTGGGGCTGAGGGGGTGTGGTCCCACCTTCAAAAAGTCCTGGGAGGTGGTAGTTCCCAGCGCTGACTTTACAACAGACTGCTATTGTTACGTACTCAATTTGTGCCAGGGCTCCGCCATGAATAAACTCTAATTCTATGGTTCCAGAGTGTGTTTGCTTCTGTGTTGACTAGGCTTGGGGATTTGGACAATTAAGAGTAAGAGAGGTAAACTCTGGCTAACAAGAGCCTGGTTTAGCTCTGCAGACTAAAGCACCATAATTAACATCCAGCTGTCTGCAATTACACCAGTTTGAATCTCCCCAGGCTCAAGGTTGACTCAGCCTTCCATCCTTTCTAAGGTAGGTAAATTGAGGACCCAGTTTGTGGGGGCAATAAGCTGACTGTATAAATATACAAAAGTATGAAGGCTATTGCTTAACACATTGTAAGCTGCCCTGAGTCTTCGGAGAAGGGCGGCATATAAATCAAATTTAAAAAAAAAACAAAAACAAAAACAAAAACAATGCATACTCTGCTAGCAAACAGGCATCAGTAAATTACATGTACTTCAAATATTCCCTATATAAACTCTATGTAGGAATTCATCACAGTTTACTTTATCAGGTTTATATGATTCCAAAAATCAGGAGATTCTGAATGGTTTACACTCTTACCATATATAGACTAGATTAAAACAGCAAAAACAATTAAACAATAATTCCATCTAAAATATTTCTGTTAAGAAATTATAAAAGCCATATAATCACACAGGAGGAATACTATTAAAATAATATAATCTTTATTTTTAAGTAGTAATAGAGCCCAATGTTCTTGTTTGTCTGAAATGTTTTTGTAAAAGAACACTATTATAAATGTCACCCTCATCTATTGAAAATTAATTCCGAATCTTTTATATCATTTAACGAAAAAAGCCTACTTACCTCTCTCAATATGTTTTACTTTGGTTTCATGTTCCTCCGTGGCATAATTGGCAACCAACTTAGAATCATCCAGAGTAGCAGTTTCTAAAAATCAGGTAATGTTTAACGAAGTCATGTATCCAAAACTATAACTTACATTATCAAAGAGTTTAGCAGAAAATGCATTTTGTAAAGTAATATGCTTCCAATTTTGAAGTTTATACCCCAGAAATTGAGTAGTTTAGTAACTAAACAAAAATGCTAAAATGCTTCTGGTAAGTATAAATTATAGATACAGCTTTTATTTTTACTATATTGCACCTATAGTTCGATATAATTAGAATTTAAAAAAACAAGACTTCCATATTGCATTGGTTTCAGGAGGACTGATGTACACCTACGTCACTGCAACACAGAAACTAATTTTAGTAAACAATGGTTTACAATCCATCAAAAATTTAATGTTTGTACATTCCATCTTAAAAAGAGGCAGGCCAGATGCAGGCTTAATATTATTTGGGGTGGAGTGAGTCTGGTACATTGTGATGTTATTGTGCTGTTACACTGGATCAAAACCTAACCTTTAAAAGACATTGTTGCAATTTAAAGCAAAAGAACACTACTCGCAATAATCTCCTTAGAAAGTTGGCTAGAACCACTTAGAGCACCCACTTTACTACTCTGCAAATGACTGCCCTTGCATTATGTTGTTTGTCAAGATAATACGCTTGCCCTGTCTGAGGCTACTCTGTGCACGCTATCAGATAGATAGGGAGCCTAGCGATATGTGTTGCATAGTTACTGGATGTTTGCGCCCCACCCCTCTTGATAAACTATGTATCTGGCGGGGTGTGGGTGGAATAGCCCCACAAGTGTCAGGAGGAGTGTGGCACAAGACCTGGAATATGGAAAGGTGTTATGTGATCTGGCACAGCCATTATTTGGCCAAATACCCCCTATAAAAAAATTGAAATCAAGGAGGTTTTTTAAGATACAAATCGTTACTACATCTCAAACAGAAAGATTAAAAAGATGGAAATTTCAGGTAATTGGATAGAATCGCTTCAGTTGAGCTGCTTGGAGATGTGGAGGAGGAGTGGACGGTCTAGAGGTGTTTAAACAGACTGGGCATTGGTTTGGCTAGAATGAAAGATTACATGGGAAAATGGGAGTTTCTCCCTGAGGATGAGAATATTCACTACAAATGTGGCACTATTCAGACAAGTATCCATCTTTTACAGTGCTCTCTGGGACCAACTTGCACACAGAATGACTTCCTGGTCGGAAATATCTCTGCCATTAACGTGGCCTGGTATTGGGCTAGAACTATATACATCCATATATTATTAAAGTTTTGAAATATTAAATTAATAATTTCTCCTTTTCTAGTTCCTGCATTTCTGACACCAGACAAGACGAGAAACTAATTTCACAAGAAGTTCCATTTATAAATAAGGTAGTTGACCTATCATTAATATTCAGAGAAGCCAAAGATGATATAATCAAAATGTTCATTTTGCAGATCACATCTAGCTACATATATCCCTTTCTTGAATTCCTTTATCTTTTAAAAACAATATTCAACAAATTATTTAAAAAAATTACATTGTAGTGTCTTTCTGTCGGTCAGTCTGTCTACCTACCTATCATATCAGCATCATGAGATACTGTGAAAATTAATCAGCCTACCACAACGCAGATTAAATAAACTGAGGTCATGACCAGAAGGCCTGAAAATCAGCTGGCCAGCACGTGCATGCGCATTGGAGCTGAGCTAGGGCAATGCTCGCGTGCCCATAGATATGGCCCCGCATGCCAACTGTGGCAGACATGCCATAGGTTTGCCATCATGGGGCTAGGGCATAAACTTTATGGAAACCATACATTGTGCCAAATTTTTATTGTAATTTTATTGTAATTTTTATTGTAATAGAAGTTTGCTATAAATTTAGGAAAGCAAGCAACTTATATTAACTCAAGAAGACTGAATTGTCTAAAAAAATTTAAAGTTGTACCTTTCTCCAGAGCAAAAAGACAGCTATCCATTTCTTTCAGAAGTTCATCCATTTTAGCTAATCTTGATTGTAGTTTTTCACATTGCAGCTTATATAATAAAGAACATATTTTTTATTTGTAATGTAATATTTATATTATAGTAACTCTAAAGTTAATACTGATTAATGCCATCTAATAATGTTTGTTTGCTAATGCCAAAATAAAAAATGTAATCATATTCAAATATTACATAAAGTATTCGGTGATGTATCAAGCAAAGGACAGATCTGACACACATACATATTTAATGGCTGCATAATCAGGGTCTCCAGTCTATTCAACATATGCAAAATGAAAATGGTAATGTCTGCTTCTAACTGACATATTAAAAATTAAGAAAACAAAGGATTTGCTACACTTTTTGTTACATTATTTATAGAAGAAGATTAAAATGAGTTTTGTACTATTATGGGAAAAGCTAACAATGAACAATGCTAGTAACAATGTAAATAATTATAGTAGGCCAATCACATTATATCATTGCAAGTTTAAATTCAGATGGAAATTGTATCGTGCAATTCATCTACATGAATTGTGCATTTCTATTTTATTCTTTGTTGAAGATATTTAAAAAGTAATTATTCCAATTAGGGAGTATTGAGCTAATTATATATTATTTGCAAGTAAATTTACAATTTGCTCAAGTTACATTTTATTTGGGACAAGGTAATTTGAATTCAAATCCCTGTTCAGATATAAATTTCATCTTGGAATAGTCAGCAACTTGGATTATATATAATGTTAAGCCACAATGTACTTTGCTTGTTTTTCTAGGACCAAGCTATTACATTTCAGACTACCTTATAAAACTGCATTGTAAAGGAAAAAAGATAGCTTATAAGGAGGGCAAAAATACAAAAATAGAATTCTTAATACCATAAATAATTTACCTTTGCATGGTGCACCAATTTCACATATAATTTTGCTTTTCCTTTGTGAGCAAGAACTTTACTTTTCTTGGTGAAACGGGATTTCATTTTGTTCAGCTCAGCACCAAAACCACTCAGCTGCAATGAAATTAAACTTTCCTTAGCTTAGCTTATAATTCATCAGCAGCATGCCAGTCACAATGGATTGAATTCAAATGTTGGCCACCTCAAACAGCTATCAGAAACAATTTTTCTAATCGACCTCTTTCCAAAACACTTGTTTTGAATTCCCAAATGTAGTATTGAATGAATTGGTGGAATCTCCTGAATTAACTTTATCATATAGATGATTTGGAAACAAGAGGTCTATCGCAAGCTTCTGTTCAATTTCTAAGGATACCCCCAGCCTCATTTCAATCAATCAATCAGAATAGAGCTGGTAGGGACCTTGGAGGTCTTCTAGTCCAACCCCCTCCTCAAGCAGGAGACCCTACACAATTTGAGACAAGTGGCTATCCAGTTTCTTCTTAAAATCCTCCAGTTATGAAGCACCCAAAACTTCTGAAAGCAAGCTGTTCCACTAGTTAATTGTTCTCACTGATTAGTTTCCATCCATTGTTTCTTGTCTTGCCTTCTGATGCTTTGGAAAATAGGTTGACCCCCTCTTCTTTGTGACAGCCTTTCAAATACTGAAATATTGCTATCATGTTACCCATCACTTCAACATCTCTATCCTATTTAAAAAATCTCCTTAGTAGCGTTTTTCTGGAAGACTTTTGTGGAATTGATAAAAACATCTGCTTCTACAAGACCTATTAACAGCATCCAAATTTCTCATCTGTTGAATAATGAAAGCAAAGTAAATGTCCTAAAATGTTTAATACCTTTGAAAAAGGAATTCATTTTAGTATTTACAGAGCATTATAATACCACTCCTCCTAAAAAGAGATCTGAGATCTGAGAATAGTACTGGGTATAGATTCTTTCAAATGCTTTCAGTAATTAATTATACTGATTTGGGCACTATATTCACATTATTCTTCAGCAGACTATTGCCCTGATGTTCCCCTTCTACTATCAAAGCTCCTCCTTTACTAATTTTACTTAGTCGTCTACTTCAATAATTTAAAAGTTATACTCCCAGAGAGAGTAAAAGAGCCTCACCTTTTTAGTGCTCCAACAAGTTTACTGAAAATAAAATGTCTTAACACATTTTAAATTTTTATTTAAAGTTATTCAATCTAAAAGAATAGCCCATTTATCAATTAAGAATGAGCATGTAGTAACTATCTGTTCATATTTTTCTTATATCTATTTACATATTGATTTCATTTATATAAAACTATTTTTAAAGTGAGTATATACAAGCAATTTCTATACAAAGTGCCATTGAAAAATAACCAAATACATAAATTAAGATAAGTTATTGACATGTCTCAATAATTACAATTTAGCAGAATAAGTCAGTTGTCTATACCTCTTCCTTTGAACAAGTTTTCATTACTTCCCAAAAACTTTTATTCATATTCGCCAGAGGTTTATCTTGGTCAGCTGCATGAAGTTTTAATCTGAAATACAAACAAACATCTGTGCTAGTCTGCTGATAGAAAGCAGAAATAACTTGGCTGGGATCTAGTAAAACAAAGGGTGACTATATCAGCTTTTCCTGCAGTATCACTACAACACTTTCAGGGATTTTTAAAGTAAGGTTTCAGATACCCTAATATAAACAGCTTGAAAGAGTTGTTGTGGGCTCCTCTCTATTTAATTATACACATAAAGCTTTCTAATGCTTCCAAGAAATGCTTGGAACTTTGGGAATATCTATGAACTAATAGCCTATTTAATCTACAGCTTATTTGGATTTCTCAACTGTGTCACAGAGATGTGCTGGATTGCACTCATAATGTTTAATGATACTTATCTCTAATTTCACTCACTTCTGCTTTGCCTACATGTCTAAACACAAAAAAACTGTAGAACTATTCAGAGAACAGGATGATTATTAATAGACATATTACATTACTCTTGTAGTCAGCTCTAATTTTGAGGATTTCTACAAAGGTGTTTTTACAGGACATCTACTATACAGCAAGAAAGCAGGCATTTCGAAGGGCAGCATATTTGTGATTATGGGATATTTCTTTTTTTTTTTAAAAAATACATGTCCAGTATCTGCATTACAATTGTTCAATTTTTCTCAGGGATTTTGTCCAAAGCCATAGTGTGCTGCATAGCGATCAATCCATAGGCAGTAAGTAATTTACAGTTCAAATTTGCTCTCCTTCTATCCTTGCTTTTTAGTGACATTATTAGAAGTTTTCCCTAAGCACAACTATGGGATAAAAAAAGCTAAATATACAGGTAATCCTCAAATAAGCATTTGTTTAGTTCAAAGTTATAATGGCACTGAAAAAAGTAACTTATGACTGGTTTTCACACTTAGACCATTGCAGTATCCCCATTGTCACATGATCAAAATTCAGACGCTGGGCAACTGGCATGTATTTATGACCGTTGCATTTGCCCGGGGTCATGTGATCAACTTTTGTGACCTTCTGAAAGCAAAGTCAATGGAGAAGCTAGATTCACTTAACAACTGTGATACTGACTTAACAACTGCAGTGATTAGCTTAACAACTGTGGCAAGAAATGTTGTACAATGGAGCAAAACTCACTTAACTGTTTTGCTTAGTAATAAAAATTTTCGGCTCAATTGTGGCATTAGTTGAGGTCCACCTATGAAGAAGAAATTGTCTTTCTGTATGCAGAAACTCCCAGAATCTAAGAGATTTTATTCTATGCACAAAATATTCCTTACACAGAAAAAGAGAGTTTTGTGGTCTATGTCCAAACTGAGATGTGTTTTGGGCACATGTTCTGTCTGTAAGCAGATAGAATAGAGGGTTGTTTTGTTCTGGATTTTGACTGAAATACATATGTTCCAGGAAAAAAAAAAGCCAAAACCAAAGCATTTCCTTGATAATATATGTAGACATCAATGGCAGCAGCTGAAGAGAAGCAGGAATCTAGGGGTCTGGAAGCCTGTTCTTAATGCTTAAATCACTGAATTAAGGAACAGGTTAATATACAGGTAATCCTTGACTTACAACCATATATTTAATGATGGTTTGAAGTGACAACGGCCTTGGAAAAAGCGACTTATGATCTATCCTCAAAGTTATGATCATCGCACCATCCCTATGGTCACATGATTACAATTTGGATGCTGAGCAACTGGGTCATATTTATGATGGTTGCATCATCTTGAAGCCACATGATCGCAATTTGCAAACTTCCCAGTCAGTTGGGAAAGCTGAATTCGCTGAAGGTCCATGAGATTTATTTAATGACATGTTTTGCTAAATGACTGCGGTAAAGATGGCTGTAATATCCGGTTTGGTCATGTGATGACCGCATTGCTTAGTGACTAAAATTCGGTTCCAAGTTGTGATTGTAAATCAAGGATTACCTATGCTTGTTTAATATATTGGCTGTAAAAGCAACGCCTGTAAAAAAAAAAAAGGCGGAAGTAGTAGAGAAGACAAAGTTGCTGGAAAGATCAGTGTTCAGGCAGGTCAGTGGAACTGGCTGTTGCACACCAGCAATGCCTGAGTTGAGGCAGGAAAAGAAAAGCACTGTGAGGAAGTGGGGAAGGTGAACTGGTGCAGATGCCAAGAAAAAGAGCAGGAGGGGACACAGGGAGTGACATGCATCAGCCTTGCAGTACTCATCTCATCAAATTGGCCAGGATCCCTTTGGATATTGTTTTGGCTATAAACTGCAAAAATCAAAACATTCCAGGCTTCGGATGGTCAATCCAAAATGAATAGAAGTAGAACTTTATTTGTGTCCAGAACAAAACAGTCTCCATTTAATGCACAGCTTTACTTTGTAATCTTTTTTATAAGAGTTCGTAAGTATTTCTGAAAGAATTACAATGCGCACATTAAAGTGATCAACTGATATCAGTAATATTGCAATTCATATTAAGTTTCAAGTAGTAGATGTTAATACAAATAAAATCTGAAGAAAAATTGGAAGTATCTTACTCTTCTATTATTGTGTGAAGAGTTTGACAATCTTCCTTATAAACCTGTAATTTGGGATGATAGATGCAGTGGCTGAGAATCTCGTCTTCTGGGATAGATGATGTGTTGACTGTGGGCTATAGAGAAAACAAAACATATGTAGTTTCTTAAGAAGGAATCTAATTAGAATTAGAATGTTCCTGTTTAGAATTGAGAAAACCAATATGCTCAAAATTGAACTGGAAGCAATACTAATTGCTTCTTTCTTGGTTCAGCAATTCCAGAAGCCAAACTTGCATAAAACTAAATTAAACTTCGGCTGAACTGAATGTTACAAAAGATGTTTATAATGGCTAAATGAGACCTAGAAAGTACAATATGCATACTGATGAATCTTAAATAATCTCTAATATAAATCACTAGGCTTGTTTCAATAATAAAATCAAATCCTTATTCATATTGCAACATAGTTGCTAGGACCTTTTACACATACACACCTTGACCGGAAGGTGACTCTGGCGAGGCATTTGTATTAAAACATGGACTTGGAGAAGTGTGAAAAATTCACGAACTGTGATAGTACCTTCCAGCAATCTCTAAAATGGAAACATTTAAGTATAAACATTAGTTTGGAGTTGAAATCAAATGTCTCAATATTTTTTTAAATTATAGTTTTAACATACCCATTAAGCTATAACCAAAATTTAAGAATAAAAATTAATTTAGTGTATAAAAGCATTATCTAAGATAATGGGTCAATAGACACAATTTCAGCAAAACAGGAAAAACAAAATCTAGCTAATTAAACATTATGAGAAACCTGCTACATTTCAAGGCCATTCATTATGTATCAATATATGTTTTGAAAGAGAAAGGTATAATTTAATATATACCTCTTGTAAATTTTGTTCGCAAATACTGTCCATGAGAAGCTGAGTCTCCAGTTCAATGTTTTGTTGATCTAGAAGGAAAAAAAGTAGGCGAGAGATGTGAGAAAAACATTCCACATAAATGTATATCAGTAATAATCAGCATCAGTTTACAGCCTAAATTATTTTAATTTTTACTTTATTTGGCAGAAAGTTCTGATATTTTCTCATTTAATATTCTGATAATCTTTGAGATAAATTAGAAGAAACACCTTATTTGTAGGGTTTATGATATGAATAATATAGTGAGAGTGAAGAAATAATTCTACAAGTATTTAAATTTAAAGTCATCTAGTTTCTCACCCTATGTTTGTAAAAAATACAATTGCCAACTTATGGCAGTGATGATAAATATTTTTTTAATCTCCACTTTGCATTCTTTTTTGTATCCTGCCTAGAGACCATAGTGGGCATGGCCAGTGATGTCATGACATCCACAGAGCAGGCAGAACCAACCAACTTTCCCAGTTTTAAAAATAAAAACAACCCTTAAGCCTTCTCAGTTCCCTTCTTAAATTCCTCGAAACTTGGTCTCAATAATTCAACCCACCCACGTAAGGAAACCAATAATTAGTTTGTCCACCCAGATTCATGGAAACAGAGGGACTGATATTATATTATCAAAAATATAATATAAATGATAGAAAATCCAGATTTGCTAGAGAGAATGTTGGTTGGGTTCAAGTTAAGACAACTTTAAAAAAGTTAACAATATCCGTCTTCCATTCTCTTCTCCCACTTTCTGACTGTCTGTGTCCAGTATCTCTGTCTGGTATCTCCAGACAGATCCCTTGAAAAATCATGAGCCACAAACACTTCCCTTGTTCCCCTGCTAGGCTCCAATTAAAAAAAAGTTTATTACCTGCAGCTCTTTATTTGGAATTGTATCTATTTAGGAGGTATGGAGTATCTGATATGATAATCAATATTCTGAAACTGGCATGACAAGTACAGCAGTAATTTTATGAATGAGCAGGACCACAGCACAGTAGCTACTTTGCAGCAAAATTCCACATATAGAGGAATTGTGCATAGAGCCTAAAGATTTGTTATTCCTAACAAGAACCATCTTTAGAGGGAACTATTTCTGAATAATATGAGCAATTAGTAGATAAGCTGCTTCTGAAATAAGCCCAAATACCTTCTACCAACTGAAGGAGAAACTTCCATGGCATATACAATACTGTAAAATGCCTCTACGGTATTTCAGACTGTTATTCAAGTCATTAGTTTGAAAGAAATCTTACTATTGCAACTTGTATCAACCTTAAATGAATCAAAAAGGTTGTTCTTGCTGCTTTGTTTCTTTTCCCGTTTTGTGGCCACCACTTCTGGAATATGTTTATTTTCATCAGTTTCTATGTTGTTATGAGGTACCTCTGTGCTATGAAGAATCTAAAATTAAAATAGTCATTATTCATAAAATATCAAATCACAAGAAAATATTACAAATATTTTACAGGTTATACATCTTTAGTTTAAAATTATATGTCTTTTTTCAGTTATATAACCTATTCATTATCACAATTTTTATTAGAGTATTTTTATTCTCAAGGCACAGGTGCCAGCATTATAACTGAAATAATCCATTTTCCAATATTACCCAGCTAATCTGTAGGTACTATTGATCTTCTTTAAAATAAAATCCTATTGCTGGGTAATTATTTTTTAACCCACAGATTTGCAAGAACCTATCAAAATAGTAAACTTTTACCAACCTGCTTTTGTTCTGCAGTATCATTCCAGTCCATATCTTTCTTGAGCTTTTTTCCTCCTTGAATGTTCTCATTTTCTTGATTTATAGATCTCTTTAATTTTTGATTAGTTTCAAACATTTCATTATTAACAATCATTTTTTCATATATCTCGTCAGGACATTTTTCTGGCACTTCATGGCATAAAGATTCATTAGAATCCATTTCCTCTGCACATGAAGGAAGCAGTTCTTCATCTATGTAAAAAGGACACAATTTCTGGGTTATTTTGTCTGAGGAACTCTTTGTAAGTAAAGAGACTTGAGAATCTTGAATTTCTGAGTTTTTATCCAATTTGGCAGCAGGAGCGTCTATGTTGGAAAGTGCAGGTTTTCTTTTATTTGGTAATTTAGGTGGGAAGATAGCTAAGGGCATTATTCTTATTTTACTGTTATCTGTATTTAAAGGTACATTAAGAGGAATACCCTCAGTAGAACTTGAATTTATCCCTGCTTTAGAAGCCATTGCATTGGATTCAATTCTTCTGTCTTCTTTCAACTTCAAGGAGCAATCTGGCTTCATTATCAGCTTGGGTAATTCTTCACTAAGAGTGGATTCGGCATCACAAGAGAACAGAACAAGTTCTGGTTTCTTCTCAGCATCTTGTAACATTGGACAGTTGCTGATAACACTAGATTCTTTATTTAAAATGACAGGCTCTTCCACTGGAAGTATATTTATGGGACTGGATTTCAAATCGTTATGTTGATCTTTTGAAAAGCTTCCCCATTCAGGTTTCTTTCCAATTTTGTCACCATATGGAAGAACATCCATTGCTTTTATAGCAGTATCATCTAATTGTCTTGACTGAGATAATTTTTTAAGATCATGTTTTTCCATTTTGTTTTCATCTAATAGGTTTTTCTCTCTGTTTAAACCCAGGGCAATTTCATCAGATAGAGTTGGCACTAGAGAGGACTTTCTGATAGGAAATATCAATTCGTTCTCTTTTTTTGAATCTACAATTGAGACATTTTCCTTCATATGATTAATTTTAGCTCTGCAAGGCTCTAGTCTCTCTTTAGTATTCAAAATGTTCTGCTGTACTTGGACGATGGACTTTTCAGATGCAATTTTGTCAATATTTAATTTCTTTTCACAATCAATTATTGAAGCAGAGAATTTTACATTAGATACAGCAAGGGAATGTAACTCACATTCATTTCTATCACTCATAAACATCCTTTCAATTCCTGTTGTGTAATTGCTAGTTACCTCCATGTGCCCATCATCTGAAAAGGCAACTGTTTTTTCTTTTGACATTCTGGAAGTGTTTGGTATCTGTTTTTCAGCAGACAGCACATAGCAATTATGTTCCTTGTTGGTAACTGTGTGTTTTTTTATAAACTCCAGATCATTTGCCTTTTCCTCGTGATTCTGTTCCATATTTTTTTCTAGCCTCTCTTTCTTAACTTCCTGCAGATTCCCACAACTTATAGTATCAGAGTGCAAACTAGTAGCTTCTGTGCCATCCTGATAAGTGAATGCATTCTTTTCATTGAAAGGAAAAAGTTGTTTAGTTTGGTTAGCAATATTCTGGCAATATTCAATTGTTTTGTTATCAAATAATACTGTGTGCATATTAGTCTTTACTGGCTCATTAGCTGTTTGATTTGAAGGGAACTCCCATTCAGCATTCTTTTCTGGCTCAGTCTTATTCTTATGAAAATTTTCTTCAGGATTTTTGGCAATTGTAGGAAATCCTGCAGTATCCATATTATTCTGAACAGATATTTGCAGAATCTTTTCTTTATGGAAAACATCATCATGGTTAACTAACACCGTGTGGCATTTTGTAATCTCCATTTCATTGTGTTGTTGGGCAAAAACACTAATATTAACTGGATCTACTAAAGTAGACTCACAATTTAAATTTGTTTTCTGTCGGAAAGGTTTTAGACTATTTTTGAAAATTTCAGCTGGTAAAGATTTTGTCATTTCCATATCATGATTGCTCATAATCATGGTGTTTTCTGCAGGAACAAAACTTGAAGATTTATTTGTTTCATAATTATTATGTACAGACAAACTGGTTTCATTTGCAGAATCGGAAAACAATTTCTGAGGGGCCACCTTAGCATGTTGAATATCATAGTTGACTGCTACTGTATGACTTCTTGTCATTTCCATTTCATTTTCATCCAGTAAACACAGATCAGTTCCTTTCTTGGCTGATTTTACTAGAATCGCTTTGCCATTTTCTTTGTTTTTTGACTGCAAAGTCTCAAAGCCAGTATCTTTGATAGATGTCATACTTATTGGTTTAGTGATTTCCATGTCATTATTATGCACAAACATTACAGTTTTATCTGAAGGAGCAAAAGACATGCTCTTATTTACTGCCATATTATTTGATATATTAATGTTGACATTCTCTTCAAAAGGTGAAGTTTGTTCTTGAGGAGCTCTTTCTACTGCCTCTGTAAGGTTCTTCCTAAATTCTAGTTTACTGTTTGCACTCAAAGGAAATGCAACAGACGTATCACTATCTGATTCAATTGTTTTCCTTCCAGTTGCTGCACTCTGCTTTGGCACATTAAGGAAGTCAGATATACTTCTAAGAGTTTCACTTGCCACAGGATTAGTTATTTCCACATCATCATGTAATGTCAATAGGATGGTTTTATTTGAAGATACAGTTGATAGAACAGGCCTATCTTCTGCAAAAGTGACAGCATCATGATTTAATGCTACTGTGTGGCTTCTGGTAATGTCCATTTCATTCCCGTCATTGAGGGAAAACACAATAGTCCTATCTTTGGTTGGCCTAGTTCTACCAGATCTATTTGGCTTTTGCATAATCTGGGAACCAGAATTTTCTACATACTGACTTATTATACATGTTATAGGTTTAGTTTCATCCATATCATTATATACATTAGTAGTTTTGTCTACAGATTCTAAAGGAAACACTTCAGTCGTTCTATCATGCTGCAGCATGTTGTAATTTACTGGCACCGTACAGCTCTTGGTAATCTCCATTTCATTGTCTTCACTCAACGGCAATGCCATAAACTTATCAGAATCTGAATCAGTTATGCTTTTCCTACTAGCACCTGTCAACTGCTGTGGTATATCCTGGAATGGAACAGGCTTCAGAGAATTACATCTTAAGGATCCTACAGCTTTACTTATTTCCATATTCTCACTGGAAGCGAAAGTATTTTCATGTTCAGGTATTAAAGATACTGCATTGTTTGAAAGCCCAATTGTTCTATTAATTGTACTATCTCCTGTTGCTGAATTAGTCCATTTAGTGATACCAATAGTAGTATATGGCACTAATGGAATCTCTACTGGCTTTTTAAAATTCTTGGACACTTGACTTGTATTTAAGTTTATGTTTCTTGCAGAACTAAGATTTACTCTTTGATTTAAAAGTTCCATGTTACCATGATCATTTTGCTGATCTGCAGCAGTCATTTTACTGACTAAGTTAGAATGGTGCATACTGTTTAGATAGGAATTCATGGAAACATGGTTTTTTGTAATGTCCATCTCAATCTCTCTAAAATTCGTTCTATCCATTAGCTCGAAAATATCAGTTTTCTGTTTTTGAACTAAGCCATCAGCAGGGCTATCTGTTACTTCCCAGATTAAACCTGTACAATTCTTGGTCATTTCCATATCTTCAGAGAAATTAGTTTTATCACCATGGAGAACAGGCACAGAAGTGACAGAAGGTCCTGTAATAGTTCCAAAACTGGTTTGTGAAGGTAAGGTGTCCCTGTTAGTTATCTTGACAGCAGAATTATGGTTAATATTTGTTTCCTTGTTATTTGCATTTATTTCACTGTGAGACATATTTGTGTTTTGCTGAATACCAAGCTGATAATTTGAAGTCCTTAGAGTGCAGCTAACTGTGCTATGAGTAACTGATTTATCCTTTCCAAGATTCTGTTGTTGATTTATCATGCTACTTGTGCTAGTTCCAGATGGCAAAAGTCTTTCTGTGTTGGCAGTAATTAAATCCATACTTTCAGCACATCCTAATTGCTTTGAAGCAGAAATGGCTTTTTCAATAGATAGAGCAGAGGTTTCATCATGTTGCCTATTATCAAGTCCTCCAAAGACAGTAGTCATGTTGCAATTTTCTGTTTGCAAATGAGAACATACATTTTGTTTGGAAGAATAAGTACTTCTTTCTGAAGCTGGTCCACCTGAAGGGATAATCTCATTAAAGGGTGCTGAAAAGAGTTTAGTGGACCTTAAACTTTCCAAAAAGTCTCCTAAATTAATTTTGTCTGTCTTTTCAGTATTTGTCTTCTGCTGAGATAAATTGCTCTCATTCATTTGTACAGAGCTATATGAGAAGCAGGTTTCAGTAACTTGTGAAGCTTTTTTTCCAGGTTTTATCTGAGACAAAAATGATTCAAAATTTATCTTCTTGGGTTTGTCAGTTTCTTGACAGACTTTAGTGTCATGGGTAATCAAGATTGTGTGACCAGATGTCATATCCATTTCATTTTGTTCTGAAAAAATCAGTGTTCTATTCGTGATGTTCAACTCTTGGCTAGGGTTGGCATCAAGACACTATAAAAAAGAAGAAAGTGCTGACATTTTAACTACTAATTATATTTAAGCTATATTTTACAAACCTATGTTATATTGAAAACCAAAGCTTAGTCCTTTCTATAAATAAATTAAAATACACTACTTATTTTAAATTCAACTTTTGAATTTCATAAAAATGGGGATGGTTTGATAATTCTGGGTTCAAATGTGATTGCGTTAAACTGAAAACTGTTCCAAAAAAGAAAGAATCCTGAATTTTGAAACTAAGCAATTATTATCTGCAATAAAAGAAGATAAAAAGAGAGGCATTTCCAGAATAGTTCAGATCAATTACATACATTTAATGTTCAGATTATACCTCAGGTTTCAAAGAAAAGAAAGTTTTAATAAGTACTCAGGGCATCACAAATTCCAAATGCTCTCAATCGTCATTCTTATAAAGTTATTTTAAAGAAAGGAGAAAATCTTTAAGATACGTTTACTGGCAGAAAGGTATTTAAATACATTACATGAAAGCAGAGAAATGAAGAGAAAGTTTTGAGGACTTGTATGTCAAGAGTATAAAGTGAAAAATATGGAATTAAAAATCAGTGTTGAATCTAAATCAGAAAAAAATACTGAAAATGTTTAAATTGGTATTTCTCTTATGTATGAACAGGCATTGTAATTTGCAAGCCAAAGCTCTCCAGTTAAATCTTCTGAACAAGCAATTTGAATGAAATAAACAATCATCCATTTAAATAAGAGCTTAAAGTATTATTTGAGTTGCTGCCAAAAGTAATAAGCAACTATGAAAGGAACATTGACACAGTAGTTATTCATCAACTCATGGAATTACTGAAAGCAGTATTAGCTTTTTTTGGCAAATTTGTAGTAATATTTATAGATGTTTTTATCATTCCAATAAATCTTACTGTACTGTATTAAATTGATATGATAGATTACATAGATTAAAAATTAGTGTATTTTACCTCCATCTGTTGCAAAGTGTGGATAGGAGCATGAAGTAAAGTGTTCATCCCTTTGAGGAAGAAAATAGGATTAAATCCTTTTGGTTAGCGTTATGGTAAAACATGCCATATAATTTTTTAATAAAATCAATCTATTCTCTCCCCTAACCTAGTACTAGCAAAAGATTACATTTTCTAGATGCAAGAAGTTTCTTTATAATATCCATCTCGTATCCCATTTGGTTTCCATTGTTTCCTGTTGTTCAAGCAACGGTACTCATTACAGGCCACAATGATATATGCATAATCAGGCAAATGAGATGATTATTTGATTTTTTAATTTTATCCTGCCTTTATTATTCTTCATAAATAACTCAAGGTACCAAACATACCTTTTTCCTCCTATTTTTCAGTGAAGTGGGTTGGGTTGAGGGAGAAGACTGGCCCAAAGTCACCAAGCCTGTTTTTCATGTCTAAGGTAGGACTAGAACTCATGATGTCCGAAATAAATATGTACCGTATTTTTCGGAGTATAAGACACACCTTTCCCCCCAAAAAAGAGAGTGAAAATCTGTGTGTGTCTTATACACCGAATGTAACCCCGCCAACCTGCCAGCCCCCACCCTTCGGAGGTTGTCGGCCTCTACGTGTCGCATTTTCCGACGGTTCCAGGAGGCGGGGATCCTTACTTCCACTCGGATTTTGATAACGAGCCGCACGCATCTTTTTATCCGTTTAAAACAAACCCTATCACTCTACACGCATTTAACCAGAGTGGGTGGTGTGGTGTGGGGTTGGGTGTGGGATACAAATTCAATGTATTTTATATTACTACTTAGCAATGATGTTTTTATAAAGCACAGCTATCAATAAAGCTTTGAATATTTATTAATTGGATGGCCATATAAATTGAAATACCTGCATAAATAAAAAGTAATAAAATAAATATTACCAGTTATCTCATACTTGGTAGCTTCTGGTTCTTCATTTCTGGAAAAAAACTCAACTTAAAATTAACTTATTAAAAGGCTAATTAAGCAAAACAAGCAGTAAGTATAATTTAAAATTATAAATGCTGAAATTAGTAGAATATTTCTAAGAAATTTAACATTTAAGAACAAAATCATGAATATTGTTAAAATATTGATCTGAAAACATCTTATTAGTGTAAATCTTCTATTGCAAGTATGGATCAGTTCATTTAGTCAACAAGTTTAGAATTGTGAACTGGAACATTAATAACATGATAAAGATAAATTTATTAAATGTACTAAACAAACAATCCCAATATTAGTATAAATACATACAAAAGAAAGTGATAGGCCATTTTAAAAGAAATTATTTGATATTCATTCAATAACTTACTCATTTAGTAGATTTTGATTTCTTGTTTCATTTGAAGGTTCTACAACTGAACATTGTGAAAAATGATCAGTTATAAGAAGTATGTGGTAATCATGGTAATGTAATACATCTATTTTATCCATATGTACTAATTAAGGATAATTAAAAAACTCTCACCTGCATGATTTAATTCAACAAGAGTTTGAGGATCATGTGGAAAGACCCTAAAAACAGTGATACATTTAGAATTTCTACTTAAAATATAAATTTAGGAGAAACTATCTTTAAGACAACAGTATTTTCATTTCACGAGAAATATTGACACAAAGATCATGCACTTTGCTTTCCAAAAAAAAAAAAAGCAATTTCCAGTCTTATATTCCAAATAATTCTTAAGTATGGGATGAATATGGCAATTGGCTTATGCAACATAACATTAAAATCATATACACCAAGTGATTATTATAAACATTGAAAAACTTTGATATGCTCCTTTCTTATTCTTTAGCTCTCAAGAAAATAATTCAAATATTTATTATTCTTAGCTGCTTGCAAAATGATAGATTATTTTTTTAGAAATGGATCCTCAGTCAGCCATCTTGGTCTAGTTTCTTTCCTACTGCACATATAGCAAAAAAAAAAAGTTTGAATAGAGCTGTGCAGCTATTCAGATTTCAAGGAGAAACGATGATTGGGAATGAACTGCAATTGTCAGCAACCTCATAAAGAAGTTTGCACTTTTAAATGTGAAAAAGGTTTATTTTATTTAATGAAGTGCTAACAGATGCAACTTGTGAACCAAACACCTTCTAAATCATGTTTTCTCCTTGAATTTTAGATAGTTTCACAGTTGTACTGTATTACCCAATCTTGCAGTCAACACTGACTTTGAAGTAACCTGTACTCTGTTTCAAACTTGATTCTATTCAGTTCCTGGAAAGTTGCTCTTACCAAGTAGTTTCTGGGCATAAACTGGACTCTCTTCGGAAAATGTTACATCTGCTTTTAACAGTTAAGATGTTTGGACTGCATATCCTAATCTATATATTTTATTTACTTTTGAACTGCTAGTATTAAATGACTTAAATGTTAGCAATTTAACTACATATTATTAAATATCTGTAAATGAAGACAACTTATTCTTATTTAGTACTTAAGAGATTCCTCTTTAGGATTCCTTTCTTTCTTTTGTATTAAATTAAGCAATATTTATATTTAAAACAATTGAAAGATTTCAGTACAACTTCTTGAAGAATATTCTGTAGCCGCTATCATATATTGCTTTTTATATTGAAGAATGCATTTATATTTGAAATGCTTTTTCAACAAACTCACCTTATGGTCTCTGCAAAACTCACCCGCCTAGAGTTTTTCTGACGTTTCTCAACGTTGTATTCCTGTACACGCACAACAAATTAAATTCAAAGGCAAATTCTCTTTTGACTAGAAATCTGAACTGGGTAATACGACATATAACTTACTGCCTATATCTAAGCATGGGTGGGTGTATCTGTGATATGTAAACATGGAACAAAAACCATGCAAATATTGTAGTTTGATTTCCTCTTGGTCTTGGCATGTAAATGTGCTGTGCAGCACAATTCTACACTAATAGAATTGATTCTCAAGTCAGGGGCCTGATAAGCAATATATTTTAATTTTTTCTTGGTATGTAAATGTGCTGTGTTTGCAGTACAGTTCATCAGGAATGGGCAAAACACAATGTTTAATTTTTATTCTACACTATTCTGACTATTCTGGGAATGGCCTGTAATTTTCTAGAAGCACATCTTCAAAAATTGGAAATGATTCACTGTGTTCTAGATGTGATTGGAGTCTGAAATAAATGAAAAATAAGAGGAAAAATTGAATTTTCTATAGAACAGAGTTTTACAAATAACTGCAGTCAAGGTGTGTGCTTAAGGACCATGGTGGGTGGTGGAATACAATCCAAGTTATATTATGGAATAACATTGTAGAATATCCCCATAATACTGCAACCTCATCCTAAATAAACTTCACTGGAATTATATCTCATTATCTTCAGTTGGATTTTTCCCACATACAAACATGTAGCATCATTTTCTTTTGTAGTTACTATAACCTATAAAATATGGGTCTTTTAAAATGAGACTCTCTTCCAATCAACAAATGCTAGCGCTTACCTGAGTAAATTCATTTCCTGTGCCTAAGTCACAAAGAGGTGTTCGGGGAGCTTTTAAAATCTAAAAAGAAGATATAGTTCAGAAAATAGTGTTCACATTGCCAAGTTAATTTCTGAAGGAATCAGTTGTTTTCATAATGTACTTTGATTTTAACGTATAGTATAGAACTATAGCTTACCTCTATTATTTGGCCTCTCTCTGTTCCAAGACTGAAAGCATTTACCTGCAGGATATTTCTTAAATAGTCCAATTATTGTAATCGAAATAGCAACCCATTTTGGAAAAATTCAAAGAGTGGATCCAAAATGGATTCTAACATGCTTCAACTATTTAAGAAATGTCCTGAAGGTCATGTCTTGTAGATACACATCAAAAACAAAATACTAATTCACATCTTATTAGAAAGCTTATTTCATTTCAGCTAATATCCAAATAGTATATGCTAATACACACACACATCCTGCTGTTATTATTTTTACAAATAAATAAAGGTGGTGAACATATCCAACATGCCTTCTTCCTATTTTCCCCATAACTACCCTGTGAGGTGGGTTGGGTTGAGAGAGAGTGATTGGCCCAAAGTCACCAAGCCTGTTTTTCATGTCTAAGGCAGGACTTGAACTCATGGTCTCCTGATTTTTAGCTTGGTGCCTTAACTAGACTTAGGCAAAAATATAAAGAACATCAGTCTCAACATCTCTTTGATAAATTGTTCATGTTATAAATATAAAGTAATGCTTTTTTTATAACACTTGTTCTAAAAGTACTATTACTTTCTTCCACAAGGAAAATATACTGATAAGTTATACTTACTGATGAAATTCTTCTTTTATTTATGCCCTCTGTAAAGTCTCTAAAATAATGGAAAAAAGAAAATTATATGAAAGCTAATATCCATTTATTACCAATAAAATGTATAAGAGTATGTGTATATATTAAACTTATAACATGCATACAATAAAAATAGTTACTATTTCAAAAGATAAAATAAAAACAGCATTTAAAACTTAAGAAACAGCTATAACCATATTATTGTGAACTACATACAGTAAGAAAAACCCATCACAGAAAAGGCCTCCACTAGAAACCCAACTTACTTCTCCTCATTCATCTCAGTATATATCGTGTCCATTTTGGAAGCCTCTGGTGTCTGCAGTATTAGTCAAAACACAATGGGATATTAGTAAATAAAAATACAATGGCAAAGCACAAGCTACCTTTCCCCAGGCTGGAAACAATATAAGCACACCTTGTATAGTACAATGTAAATGAGAAAATATTTTTGGTTGTCAATAACCTAGCAAACAAGATTCTGAGAGAAAACCAAAAATACTGAAACAATTTACTGGAACTGAATTTTAACAAATAAGCTTTGCTGCCTTTGAACACAGAGTACCAAAGTGATCGTTTCAAGCATGAATCGATACAGTACAGGTAGTCCTTGACTTATGACCACAATTGAGCCCCAAACCTCTGTGGTTAAGTGAGAAGTTTTGTCCCATTTTACGACCTTTCTTGCCACAGTTGTCAAGTGAATCCCTTCAGCTGATAAGTTAATAACCCACCTGATAAGTGGCTTCCCAATTGATTTTGCTTGTCAGAAGGTGGCAAAAGGTGATCACATGACCTTGGGAGACAACAGCGGTCATAAATATGAACCAGTTGCCAGGCATCTGAATTTTTTTTTAATAAATTTTATTAGAGCATCAAAAAGAAAAATCAAAAACAAATGTATAATGATTTTTCTATCACGGTGTAACATCGCCAAAATTTCCATATATATATATATACACCAGTAATCAGAGGGTAAAAATAGAAAATATTTACAGATTCTTGTATACAAATTTATCTTTCCAATACTTATTACCATAAATATACAATCATCTATAATTATAATCCAACATTATCCTTTGTTGTCTCTTTCCCATCGTTTCTGGGTCCAATCATACCACATATTCCAATGACCATAAAAGTCTGAGTCTCTTTTACCCTTGATCCGTTTTGTAAGTCTGTCGGACTCTGCACATTCCATGATTTTATAAATTAGTTTTGCATCTGAATTTTGATCGCATGATCCCGGGGATGGCCGCACTGTCGGTAAGTCAAGGACTACCTGGGCTTTGAAATGGGGTCCCTTCCAAGTGTGAACCCGAGAGCAGGGATGAACTCCTGGCTGCAATGGACCTTGTTCCCAGAAGGGAAAGTGAAAGCCCAGCCACTGAAGGCCCATCTGGAGGGCAGCAGCCTCCCTCCCCAGAGGGAGAACCACCAAGTTAAGTACCTCTGCTGCTCCTACCAGGAATGGCCAAAGGGCTGCTTGGGGAAACCTTTGAGTACAGGATAAAAGAGACAATCGCAGCTCTTCGGCATTTCTGCGTTGGTTTGCCCGAGAAACTTGTACCTGGCATAAAAGGGGGGGGGAGGGAGGGTCGCGGATTCAAAAGACAAGGAAAAGTCCCGCGCAGAAGAAAGGCAGGGTAGGGCCGGAGGCTGAGACTGCAGAAGGGGCTAACTACGGTCAAGCCTCTTTGCTGAAGACGAGGATTTTTTCTCTCTCTGGGGCTGAAGTCAAGCTCCCTCCCCTTCCCACTAACAACAGGAGTTACTGCTCCTCTGCGGGGTGGGCCGCGCGGGCAGCTGAGGAGAAAAATCTTTTGACAGAAAAGGGGAGGGAAAGATGGGGGGGGGAAGGGGGTTGTTTGGAAGTTCCTAAGAAAATGGAGTCCTCCGAGGCGGATCTCCTGCTGCCTTCGACGACTAGCCGTGAGGAAAGGGGATTGGGGGGGGGGGGGGGGGTTGGGGGGAAGGAAAAGGCTTGGCTCGGACGAGCCTTCAGGAAAACCAGCCGCCAACCCGCCTCACCTAAATCGTGAACTCGCGCCTGTCCCCGACCATACACCGGTTACTTAGGCCAACCAAGGCTTTGTTCCCGCAGATCCCTTTTTCGCTGTCAGGCTCGGTCGACTTTCCCAGCCATTTTTGCCACAGATGCAAACGCTGAGGCCGCCACAGCCGTCGGATTCAAACCAACCGCCAGGCTTCACGCATGCGCCGTCGCCTCTAATGCTCCTGGAGGCTCTTTTCCATCATGGCGGTTTCTTCTCGCCGTACGACATCATGCTCCACCTCCCTCAAGTGGCCACCAGTGTTTTACGCCGAAGTAATGTGCGGGGGGGGGGGGATGGGGGAGAAGGAGGAATAGCAAAAAAATCCGAGCAAATAATTTTTAGAATCCGGGCGGTTTGTCGTGTATCGGCACAAATTACTACATATCGATTTGTCGCTGCTCAGAAGCGAAAGTCTGCAGGCGGACAAGAACGAATAGGAGACAGTCGTTGGTAGGAATCGTTTCTTATAAGGTTGGAGAGAGGCTAGGCTTCCGCGACGAGGTGGCCGAGTGGTTAAGGCGATGGACTGCTAATCCATTGTGCTCTGCACGCGTGGGTTCGAATCCCATCCTCGTCGTTGTGTTTGTTTTACTTCACCGGCTTTTATAAAACCGCAACTGCATCTTTATATTATATATATGCTTTTAGAAAAATAACAGATCTTGTTATAACAGATTTGAATTAATTGCTGTTGCTATACAGTTAACTTAATAAAAATGAACACTACAAATAACCCTCACCAATACAAATAATTATAGATGAAAGGTGAATACTGGAAATCAGGCATTCATTCATTTATTTTTCTAGGAAAATATGGACTAATTATTCAATTTTTCCATGACAATAGTCATTTCAAAGACTGAGAGTGCACACATTTCATCTTTCAGACACGTAAATAAATTCCATATTTTTAGAACACAGCTGATTGATTTACCCAATTCAAAACAACCCAGTTTACAACAAAACTGAAAATCAAGTCACAAACATCAACCTCTAAACAGAACCCACTGCAGCTTAGGATCAACATCTCCATAAAACCTCTCAAAACACTTTTTAGAATTATTTCAGCGCCATGAGAATTTTATGAATTTTGAATTCCTCTTTCGAGAGAGCCCTTGCTAGTAGATGTAGGGTTCATTTTTAGTTTTAAAATACAGCTCATTCTACATGCTTGACATCTTAACTCAGAGGTCTTCAAACTTGGCAGCTTTAAGACTTGTGGACTTCAACTCCCAGAATTCTCCAGCATAGTATAGCTGTCTGGAGAATTCTGGGAGTTGAAGTCCACAAGTCTTAAAGCTGCCAAGTTTGAAGACCTCTGTCTTAACTAGTTTATTTTTGTGGAAAAAACTTGCTCAAGATCCTGGCTCAATGCCCATAGGGACAGCTGATCTTCATTGCCTTTTGAAAGCCAAGAGTCTGGACCAATTTTTTGGGAAGGTGGGTGGGTGGACTATTCCATTGGAGAAGGCACACTTTCTGATCCTATCAAATGCCACTGCTTGACTAAAGGAACCCAGGACACAGCACAACTGCTGAGAGCTCGGGGTGGCCACCGCCATTCTGAGCCTTTCAGAGATGAACAGAAATGCAATCTCTGCTACCTTACTTCTACACCTAAGCCTCAATCTTTACTTAAAGGATCGGATACTGTAATCCATTTCCCCCACAGTCCTATGAAATTGCAGCTCAACCACTTTCTCCAAAACTGAGATGTTAGCAATTGGATGATTACCCAGTATCATCTATCATCAAGGCCACCTTTTCATTCAAGGATGAATTAACCACTTCCTGGCTCCACTGCCATGACACTTCTCAGGCAGGCCTAATAGAACAGGATGGACATGGAATCAATGTACAAGTAGCTGAGTTTACAATGCCAAGGACTCTGTTTACTGCCTTGGAATCAACAAACTCCCCTTAGATCAGTGATGGCAAACTTTTTAGACACTGAGTGCCCAAACTGTGGACACATGCATGCACGGACATGTGCGCATGCGCAGCAGAGACCCAAAGACCAGCTGGCCAGTGGGAGGTGGGACATCCCAACACCGGCAGTGCAGGAAAAGAATAGAATAGAATAGAATTCTTTATTGGCCAAGTGTGATTGGACAAACAAGGAATTTGTCTTTGGTGCATATGCACCAGTGACAGTCATACAGTACAATAAGCAATCAAATCATACTAGGAAACAATATCAATATAAATCGCAAGCAACAAAGTTACAATCATGCAGTCACAAGTGGGAGGAGATGGGCAACAGGAATGATGAGAAGACCAATAGCAATAGTAATGCAGCTTAATGTAAATAGTTTGACAGCGTTGAGGGAATTATTTGTTTAGCAGAGTAATGGTATTCGGGAAAAAACTGTTCTTGTATCTAGTTGTCTTGGTGTGCAGTGCTCTATAGCCAGGATGGCGAACCTATGGCACGGGTGCCACAGGTGGCACGCGCAGCCATATCCGTGGGCACGTGAGCATTGCCCTAGGTCAGCTCCAGTGCGCATGAGTGCGCCGGCCAGCTGATTTTCAGGCCGCCTGGGCCCACCAAAAGTTGGGAAACGGGACGACTCTGGAGGGCCTCCAGGGGGGGGATAGGAAAGGCAGTTTTTGCCCTCTCCAGGCTCCAAGAAAGCCTCTGGAGCTTGGGGAGGGCGAAAAACAGGTCTACTGGGCCCACTGCATGCCAAAAGCGGGTTTGCATGGGGGGGGGTCATGTGTGCATGAACAGGGGGTAGGGCGCATTGAATTATGGGTGTGGGCAAACATGCACGCAACCCTCCTGTGCTCCCCCCGCTTTTGGCACGCGACAGCAAAAAGCTTAGCCATCACTGCTCTGTAGCGTTGTTTTGAGGGTAGGAGTTGAAACAATTTATGTCCAGGATGCGAGGGGTCTGTAAATATTTTCACAGCCCTCTTTTTGTGCAGTATATAGGTCCTCAATGGAAGGCAGGTTGGTAGTAATTTTTTCTGCAATTCTCATTATCCTCTGAAGTCTGGGTCTGTCTTGTTGGGTTGCAGAACCAAACCAGACAGTTATAGAGGTGCAGATGACAGACACAATAGTTCCTCTATAGAACTGTATCAGCAACTCCTTGGCCAGTTTGAGCTTTCTGAGTTGGCGCAGAAAGAACATTCTCTGTTGTGCTTTTCTGATGATGTTTTTTGTTAGGTGTCCATTTTAGGTCTTGAGATACGATGGAACCTAGAAATTTGAAGGTCTCTACTGTTGATACTGTGTTGTCTAGTATTGTAAGCGGTGGTAGTATGGGAGGGTTTTTCCTAAAGTCTGCCACCATTTCTACGGTTTTGAGAGTATTCAGTTCCAGATTGTTCCAGTTGCACAAGGCTAGTTGTTCAACCTCCCGTTTATATGCAGATTCATCATTGTCTCAGAGACCAATCAATGTTGTATCATCTACAAACTTCAGTAGTTTTAATAGATGAATCGTTTGAGATACAGTCATTAGTATATAAAGAGAAGTGAAGAAAGCACACATCCTTGTGCTAATTGTACAGGTATCTGATGTGATTTTGCTTAGCTTCACCTGCTGCTTCCTGTCTGTTAGGAAGTGAGATCTTTTTCTTTTGTGAGCTTGTGCTTCATCATTTGTAGGGAAACAGAAGCTCACGAAAGAAACGCCATGGAGATCTGACCTGGGGCAATGGCGGGTGTGCCAACAGAGAGATGTGTGTGTGCCACCTCTAGCACCCGTGCCATAGATTGTCTGGCCGCCCTGTTCAGGGTAACCCGCTCCCTGCTCCATCCGGGAGCGCGGGAGGATCCCTTGGAAGGCAGGGCGGAGGATTTCGGACAATACCTGTATGACAAAATCGCTCAGATCCGGGGGGATTTGGACTCTGACTGGGTAGATCAGGGCAGGGTGACGAGGAATAGTCTTGAGAATGTTACCTGGGAGGAGTTTGATGCTGTGACTCCGGATGATGTGGACAGGATTTTGGGGAGACTTAGTGCGGCCACATGTTTACTGGACCCGTGTCCCTCCTGGTTGGTACTGGCCTCCCGGGAGGTTACACGAGGCTGGCTCCAGGGTGTTATCAATGCTTCGTTGAGTGAGGGTCACTTCCCCGCCGCCTTGAAAGCGGTGGTGAGGCTTCTCCTCAAGAAGCCGTCCCTGGATCCGGCAATATTGGCCAACTATCGTCCTGTCTCCAACCTTCGCTTCCTGGCGAAGGTTGTTGAGAGTGTGGTCGCGCGACAGTTTCCACAATTCTTGGAGGAAACATCCTATCTAGATCCGTTCCAGTCGGGTTTCAGGCCTGGACACAGCACGGAAACGGCATTGGTCGCATTGGTTGATGATCTCTGGAGGGCTCGGGACAGGGGTTGTTCCTCTGTTCTGGTCCTGTTAGACCTCTCAGCGGCTTTTGATACCATCGACCATGGTATCATGCTGCACCGGTTGGAAGAGTTGGGGATGGGGGGCACCGTATTACGGTGGTTCTCCTCCCTTCTCTCCGACCGGTCGCAGTTCGTGTTGGCAGGGGGGCAGAGGTCGACCTCAAGGCCTCTTATATGTGGAGTGCCTCAGGGGTCGGTCCTCTCGCTCCTCCTGTTCAACATTTATGTGAAGCCGCTGGGCGAGATCATCCGTGGCTTTGGGGTGAGATACCACCAGTACGCTGATGACACCCAGCTGTACATCTCCACCCCAGGCCACCCCAACGATGCCCTTGAAGTGATGTCCCAGTGCCTGGAGGCTGTGCGGATCTGGATGGGGAGGAACAGGCTCAGGCTCAACCCTTCCAAGACTGAGTGGCTGTGGCTCCCGGCATCCCGATATAGTCAGTTGACTCCATCACTGACTATTGGGGGCGAGTCGTTGGCCCCCACAGAGAGGGCTCGCAATCTGGGAGTCCTCCTGGATAGGCAGCTGTCCTTGGAGGAACATCTGACGGCTGTAACCAGGGGGACCTTTTGTCAGGTTTGCCTGATCCGCCAGTTGCGGCCCTTTCTTGATCGGGATTCCCTGTGCACAGTCACTCATGCCCTCATCACCTCTCGCCTTGACTACTGCAACGCTCTCTACATGGGGCTCCCCTTGAGGAGCACCCGGAGGCTCCAACTGGTCCAGAATGCAGCAGCGCGGGTAGTGATGGGAGCAGCCTGGCGCTCCCATGTAACACCGCTCCTGTGCGAGCTGCACTGGCTCCCAGTGGTCTTCCGGGTGCGCTTCAAGGTGTTGGTTATCACCTTTAAAGCGCTCCATGGCATAGGGCCTAGCTATCTTCGAGACCGCTTGCTGCCACCGACGATCTCCCATCGACCCGTGCGCTCCCACAGAGGGCCTCCTCGGGGTGCCATCAGCCAAACAGTGCAGGCTGGTGACCCCCAGGGGGAGGGCCTTCTCTGTTGGGGCACCTACCCTCTGGAATCAATTGCCTCCAGAGATAAGGAGAATCCAAGACCTCGGTGCCTTCCGCCGTGCCCTTAAAACCTTCCTTTTCCAGCAAGCCGGGCTGGCCTAATTTTTTTAAGTGTTTTTAAGTGTTTTATTGTTTTTAATTAATGGGGCCAAATTTATATATGTATATTTTAACTGTATTTTAATATTTGTATTTGATGTTTTTACTTGGCTGTTCACTGCCCTGAGTCCTCAGGGAGAAGGGCGGTATACAAATTCAAAAAAAAAATAAAAAAAAAATAAATAGATTCACCATCACGGCCCTAGATAATACATCCAGATAATGCCTGTCAAGTTCCTAGGATCTAGTCAGAATCCAACTCACAGCAGATCTGAGTAACTTTGTCAGAGGTTGCCTTGAATACTGCTGCAGATGGCCTTCTAAATTTTCTCTCCCTAGGAAGATATGGCCCACCCAGAACAGAGCCAATTATCTGTGATAAGAGCAGAAAAATAACTTCTTCCCACTATTGTCGCCACAGTGAATGACCATGAAACAGGCAATCTTGGAGCCTGACCATTCCATCAACCTGTAAATTTCGTAAAATACATGTGGAATTAACATAAAACATCCTTGTTTATGTTAATATATAAAATATAAAATGCATCTTATACTCATTTCCCAAATTTTTTTCCTCCTAGACTAAGTATTTTCAATAATCTATTAGAGTTCCCCAACCTTTCCAGCTTTGTGGACTATGTGTATGGGGTGTTCTGTGCAAGCGGCTGGTCTGTCGCTTGCACAAATGGAGCGCACGCACTCACGCACTGCTTAAGTGGTGATGCATGTGCGAATGCATGTGCGAACATGCTCACCCATTGCTTCTGCAACCCAGTTCTGAATGTCTCACAGCCTAGTAGTGGGCCAAGGTCCAGGAGTTGGGCACCCCTGATCTATTAGTATCACTAATTAATCTGCATTATATACTTAGAAATACTCAAATCTTCTAACAAATTTTTTCTGAGAATAAGTGATATTCATTTTGTAAGATATTACCAATATGTGTAATGAACAAATGTGTAACTCACACACTTACCTCTGTAATGACACCCCGGCACCAGAGACTTACTTTTGAACTTTTTGAGTAGTCCTAATTTTTCTATCTTGTGAAGTTCATGACAAAGTCAGAAATTACTAGCTTATACACGCGTAGTTTAACTGTTTTTCCCTTTGCTTACCTTCGTGCTTGCAGAGCTGAATGTTGTTTCTAACCATCCAGAGATTTCCAGCCTGCTTTCAATTTTACTGAGCTAAATCAATTACATTTCTGAACTCCATTTTTGCCATCTTATTATTTATGAAAGTGATCACAGCCACTAATATGAATAGAAACCTTCATGGAATTCCTGTTTTTCTGTTGGAATGGTCACACTGAGTAGAACACTTGTGAAAAATATTGTGAGGGTCTGTAGTTACACTTCTTGCCTGCAGAGCAGAGTGAATTTTTCAAACTTTTGGCATACTCTTAATAAATTCTATTACTCAAAATGTATTAAACAAAATTGGCAATTAACCGGCTGGCATTTCCCACGTACGAAGAACTCATGCTTCAGATATTTTAAATCACGCCAACTTTGTACAAGTAATTAGCAACAGATGTTTTTAATGTGTATATTTATTGGAAAGAGCTCCGTTTCATCAGATTTTTAGAACCAATGATTGCTCCCAAGAAACCGGAACAGCTTTATTATTACACAGCTTTTTAAAAGCAATGAAATAGGCAGTTCAAGCTCCCCATAAGACACGTTAACTATGATTGCAGCTGTTTAATGAGCCCTTTTATTAAGTTAATTTATTGGAGAGGCTATGCAGCTCTATTAAGGAACAGAGTAGCTGAGTAGCAGTCACAATAAAATAGACCAGAATACGGAGATATATGGCATTAAAATAGAGGCCCAATGGGTTATGGGGACCCCAAGGGTGGGAAGCGGAGAATGGGGTATCTCAGGGGTGGGGGGAGGCCTTGGAAGGCCCAAGGCAGGGGGCTTGTGCCTGCACTAATCCCTCCAGGGTCATCCCTGAGGCACCCCATGCGCGCGTAATGACCCACACATTCGTTTCCCAAATGCATTGAGATGAGCAAGGATGGGGCTCATTTATCCCGATTCCAACAGTACTGTAATGGGCAGGTTCCATTACTGTCGTAACTCAAGGATTACTTGTATATTCTTACTTGGTAAGAAATATTGCTTCTCCAAATAATTATTCCACTTTCTTGCAATAAAAAGAAAATGCATTCTTTGGAACAGCTTCTTCACATATACCGACTCTTCTTCCATTCCATTTGCAGAAAGTTTCTCACCCGCTCTTCACTTTATAAAATAAGATTCAAGTCTCTTCCCAATCATCCTGGGCCCAAGCAGGCATTTTGGAACAATATTCAAATTCCATTCCTTTATAGCGTAAAGCATGGAGATACATCACTAGCTCTCTGGGTGATGGATCAGGCCTCACCGTTTTGCATTCTTCACATAGTGGGTCCATCTCATTGTGGAACTCAGTTAAACACATTTCCCCACTTTCAGTTTTATGCACATTTGCTTGAGAGGCAGAATTCAGAGAAAGCGTCTTTTCTTTGTCTTCTGATTCTTCAATGTTGTCAGAATGATCAATTGCAGTAGTGACCTGCAGAGGCTTAATTCCATTATCTGGAGTTTCCTGCTTTTTATCTGCTAAAACTGCTTTCAGGTCCTCCTCCACAATGTCCAAGATTCCCAGACTCTCTTTTGAGACATATTCTTCCACAAATGATTGAAGCAATTCATCATCAGTTTTATTAACACTGCCCCCCTTGCCCTTTTCAGGACCCCAAATTTCATTATTGTAGATAGGATCATTGACGATAGGATGCCCCAAAAATTGTAGATGGACACGGATCTGATGGGTACGGCCAGTGTATGGGAAACACTTTACTACACTAGTCTTGCCATTGTAACTGAGCCGCTGGAAGACCGTTTTACATGTCTTGCCTTTGGGATCCACTCGACACAAACCCATTTTGTAAGACATAGACAAGATAGGTTCTTCACAGATCACTTCATTTTCTGGAAACTCTCCAACCACACGGCATACATACTCTTTCTCCAGCTATTAGAAATGGGGAAAGAAAAAGGGGGAAAAAAATAACGATTAGGGTTTAGAATGTAGAAGGAATGTGTATTTCAGAATGTTATTTATGCATGTAATTTATATGGCCATCCATCTCACAACAGCGAATCTGGATGGTGTACAAAAATTAAAGCCCAACAATTAAAAATAACCCATGATTGCTTGGAAAACAACACCTTCCAATCATAAAAATCATATCAATAGGGCTAGTCTAATCTCCCGGCCCAAATGCTAAAGGCTAAAAGAGTCAGAGCCATCTGGATCTACAAGGGAGAAATTGTTTGACATCTAGTTAATCTACTAACCACGTTCTATACTGAGGCTAAAAAGTGATATCAGCATTAAGGTGGACAGGAAGCAAACTTGAAGCACCTTCAGTTGGCTTTAAAGCACCTCAAAAGCCAGAGATTGATATTCATTTGTTTACTAACTAAAGGAACATTATTTTAATTGCCAGAATTTATTATTTACAGCTCATTTACCAAAGAATGTAATGTATATGGCTTCTTAGCCATTTCCAGATTCTTTTCTTTTCTTTTCTTTTCTTTCTTTCTTTCTTTTTCTTTCCTTCCTTCCTCCCTCCCTCCCTCCCTCCCTCTCTTCCTTCCTTCCTTCCTTCTCTCTCTCTCTCTCTTCCCCTTCCCTTCCCACGTTGACTGCTGGCAATTTCCTGGACTGGTCCTGGCTATTTTCTTGGCAAGATTGCAAAACTGAGTTGCCATTGCCTGCTATCTAGAGCTGAGAATGAGTGACTGGTCCAAAGTCAACCAGTTCGCTTGGTTCTAAGGCAGGACTAAAACTCATAGTCTTCAGTTTCTCGCCTGGTGCCTCAACCACTATACCAAACAGGATCTCTTCAAGGAATTTACCAAACACATACAGAGATTAAAGTTCTGGCCCTGGAAGTCCTATAAAAATGTTTGTTTGGGCTATGAAGTTCACTGAACATGCAGTCAGTCTCTCTCACATTAACCTACTTACACCTTTAAGGATGGTTAAATCTGTATCTGTACTGATGCTGTTGGAAAAGCATATTACAAATATCGAGATATCATTAACAAAAGCAATTTTACCTGCCGCTGTCGAACTTGTTCATCAATCCTCTTGGATACTTCTGCAGACTTGGCAAAGATGAGGACACCTGATGTCAGGCGATCAAGCCGATGAACAGTATGCAGCTCTTTCAGGTTATGCTCTTTGCCCAAAATGAAAATGATTGTGTTGTGCCGAAATCCACCGCAGGGATGAACGGGCACAGATGAGGGCTTGTCTACAACCACAACTTCATCATTATCCTCTATAAACTCAATCGTTTGTGCTGTAACTGGAGGTTCATGGCGATGTATGGTATTCTCCAGAAAGTCATTATTCTGCAAACAAAGCAATTATTATAATTAGTTTAACCAGATGATTTTCTGGAACAATTAGTTTCAACAGTTATGGTCGTAGCTTTCCATATAATTTTTCAAAGGAATCATCTGAATTGCCATATAAGAATATGTCTGCATTCAGAGTGAACTCTAACAACCGAGTGGCACTGATTTTTATTCTGCTAAACATAAACTCTCATCAAATTGTAGGCCACAGTCCTCTGTATGAAACCAGCCATGAAATTGCATCTCTGAGATGCAAAAACTGATCCTTATCGTGGAACATTACAAATGGCAGCTGTCCTCCCAGAATGAGTCACCACACATTTGTAATAGTTGAGGGCCTCACTGTGATGCAAACCACACCACTCCGATGAGGTTATTTTTGCACACGTATATGTACCTTTTCTTTCAAATATACCGCAAAACATATAGGGTTAGGTGGTGTTTGTTTTAAAAAAAATAGATTTATGATACTTGCAAACAAGTGGATAAAAATCAATGATTTTTTTTAAAAAATCAAAAAAAAATCAGATTTTTTTTATTTAAATCGGATTTTTTTGATTTTTATCTAATTTATTTTAATAAAAAACTTTTGGGGTAAAAATCTATTGTAAGATAGTTTTCTCTTTAAGATACATAAATAATTTAGTTTATTCAGCATGAAATGGAGCTTAGTTATGTAGCATGAGGCTGTATATTCTGCAACACTGGGACTATCGGTGAGTCAACAGTGGGTCAAAGGAGTAGCAGAGATGACAGTTGCTCTTTAAAAATTATGATTTAAATCGAGTTGATTTAAATCAAGCCTTTTTACTAGTGATTTAAATCGTGATTTAAATTGTGATTTAAATCAACTCGATTTAAATCAAATCCACCCTGCACATCACTATTTGAAGAACTGGAAACTTGTCCATACACTATTCCAATTCAATAGCTTTCAGCAATCTATCTTCACCTTTAGATGTCTTAGCTATGCTTCTCCTCATAACAACATCCAGAAAATAGGAGGGCGGGGGAGTGGATTGGAGTATTGCTCCAATTTAGTTCACAATAGACGTTTAACAGCTAAACAGTCTCATTTCTCCTTCTTTAAAGGATCTAGTTGCTCATTCTGTCCCAGTGTCTTCCTCCAAGTTTCTTTATTATACATTACTATGAGAATGAATAATAATGAGAATGTATAATAAGGAACGTGTTGTCTCAGTAGCTAAGACACTGAACTTGCCGATCGAAAGTTCAGCGGTTCAGCGGTTCGAATCCCTAGCGCCGCGTAATGGGGTGAGCTCCTGTTACTTGTCCCAGCTTCTGCCAACCTAGCAGTTCAAAAGCACGTAAAAATGCAAATAGAAAAATAGGGACCACCTTTGGTGGGAAGATAACAGCGTTCCGTGCGCCTTTGATGTTTAGTCATGCCGGCCATGTGAGCAGAGATGTCTTTGGACAGCGCTGGCTCTTTGGCTTTGAGACGGAGATGAGCACCGCCCTCTAGAGTCGGGAACGACTAGCACATATGTGCAAGGGGAACCTTTACCTTACCATGAGAAATAACTAAACTGGTGAGGGGAAAGAGGTGGGAAAAACAAACAAAGTAAGCAGAATCCTAAAATAAGATGTTGCCGATTGCTGATGCAAACTCCACCTCCCGCACCCCCCAAAATGGTGGATGTTTTCCTCTCTGGCTGGGCGTGTGCTGAAAATTGACAGGCAGTAAAAGTAGAGGAGAAACCACTTTGCCTGGACAACAGCAGTCACATACCACAACAACAATAGCATTTACTGTGACTTGGAACAGAGCAGGTATCAAAAAAACAGCTAGGTGTTATCAAGGAAGATAGCATTTTATGTATGGTTTTGTTCCTAAAACAGGTTTGTATCTAACGGGGAAATGTCTTAAATTTCCTAGCTAACTTTAGAATCATAGGACTAAATAAAGTTTATAGTTAGAATGTTTTATTTATTTTTAGAATTCTAGGCTGCCGGCTTACAGTCGTGCAATTAAAAACACCACATAAAACATTAAAACAATAAATATGAACCATACATTTAAAAATTCAGATAAAATTCATATGTATTTTGTGGGCTTTTGAATATATATAAAGCCATAACATTTTAACCCACCAGATCTGGTGATCAGAGCCTGCCTAACTAGTTCATGCATGTAACCTCACAAAAATTGGATTACATCACCTAAGCAATCTGCTTTCTTTGCAGTTCTTGCAAAGAACTGAAGGTCTTGCTTCCAAGATAAAGGGCAAGAGGGGGGAAAAAATCCCTTTTACTAACTTTTTTCCGATTTAATTTGAGAATAAACATGAAGGCTGATAGTTCTGAATAAAACAGGGAAGGAGATCTAACTTGCTTTGCAATCAATATTTATTAAAACCTTCACCAGTCTGGGTGCATTGGGGTGATTCAAACTGTCCGCAAATTTTATATAGGTAGTCCTCAACTTATGGACACAATTGGGACTAGAGTTTGCTACGCAAGGGAATTGTTAAGTGAACAGTGCCAATTTTACAATCTTCTGGGTGCTCCAACACTGGAGATTTATAAGAAATTGGACAACTAAAATGCTATAGGGCAGGGGTGGGCAAATATGGCCCCTTTATGACCTGTGGACTTCAACTCCCAGAATTCCTGAGCCAGCTTGGCTGTTTCAGGAATTCTGGGAGTTGGAAGTCCACAGGTTGTAAAAGGGCCACATTTGCCCACCCCTGGTATAGGGTTTCCTGCTTGAGCAGGGAGTTGGACTAGAAGACCTCCAGGGTTCCTTCCGACACTGTTATTCTGTAAATCGAGAACTGCTTATATACCCTTTCTCTCCTTAGCCTCCAGCATAGAGTGTCAAGAGCTACTCCAACCAGGTTTGGACATCACAATATTACAGTGTTTCCCCGAAATTAAGACCCTGTCTTATTTTTTTTTGAACCCTGAAATAAACGCTTGGCCTTATTTTTGGGGAGGTCTTATTATTTTGGGGCGCGTGGAGCAAGATGGGGCTTCTCTTGCCGCCTTACCTGATTTCCAGCTCTGTGTTTAAATATTTTTGGGGTGAGCTTATTTTCAGGGGGAGGCTTATTTTAGTGCATGCGCTCAAAAGCCCGATTGGGCTTATTATCAGGGGATGTCTTATTTTTGGGGAAGCAGGGTAGCTAAACTAAAAGGGATGCCAATAAAGATGTTGCAATCATCCAGATGGTCATCTTGGTACCATCACTACAAAAACACTGGAGCCGCTCTCCCAGGACCTGGTTAATATTACCAGTCAGTTACCGAAAAGGACTTTTATATCTTTTGCTTACAGATCATGCCCTCACGGACGCATCTCCATCGTAAGCTCCCTGCCCAACAAGGTCCTTGTTCTGCTCCCCTCAAGCAGAGGACATTTATTCATTATCTTTTCCACCATCCTGTTTATGAGATATTAAATCCAAATTATTCCCGGGAGGTGAATCCAAGAACTAATAATTAAATAATACTAAATAATTGAATGCCCTTCTTGCAGAGGTGTCTCCAGCTGTTAGCAGTTATGCGGCTACTTTCCTTCTGCTGTCACTTAAAACTTTAAAAAAAAATTATTACATTTTTAATCGTAGCTTTAAGGGGGAAAAAAATCTTAAATTCTCACGTCTTCGCTCTGGCATTATCTTCTTTTCACTTTATTCCTTTTTATAGCCACATTTTACGATTATCCTATATTCGTTACTTCCTCTTACTGTTCCACTATTTACTGTACTGAATTTTAAGTTGTGCAACTTGTGGTTTAACAACGATTTTCCTCGTTTTCCTTCCTTCCTTCCATCGCAATAAAACCAAATCGGGACCCATCATAATGCAGTGGCAGACTGGGTCCGCTTAAGTTCTTTCGGCGGCTTAACCCACGAGTAAGCCACACATCGGGGTTCAGCCAACCGTCGCGCATCCCTCGACTTGCAAAATCTTTGGGAAAAGGCTTGCAAAAAAACCTTGAGGAAACCCAACAAGGTGTGTGGGTGTGTGTGTGGGGGGGATTTAATGCCATAGATCAGGATGACGCGCATACGGCTGGGATGCTAAGCGTGGAAAAGCAACGTGGGGAGGGGGGGGGTTAGAAAGGAGAGATTGGGGTGAGCCTTACCGCAGGCATCGGGTCTGTGGATCGTCTCGGCTCTCTCCTTCGCGATCAGCCGCCGGGCGCCTTCCCCGCGCGTCCTTTTCAACCAGCCGCTGTCCCCGCCCCTCCGCTGAGTTTTGCTTTCCTGCGGCCGAAGGAGCCAAACTCGAAAGCGAAACTTAACTGCGCTCGGGAAGCGCCGCCGCCTCCTCTCCTCCTACTATTGTTTTTACGCGGCCAGGAAAAGCGCCGATTCCGCTTGCCACCCTAGCGCTAGAAGCGGCAAGTGGTTTTCTCCGGATGGTTTTTCCGCTGCGTTTGATGTGGTCGCGCAGCGTTTGGGACGTGGAGAAGGGAGAGGTAGATAGATAGATAATACAAAAGTAAACAGGAAAGCAGTGGGGAGAGGGGGGAGGGAAGGAGGGAAAGGGAAGTGAGGAAAGGTTGGGAAAAAGAAAAAGCATTGAATTCCGACTTTCTCCGTTTCAGTAAAATAAGGCAACGTCAAACCACAACTTTTTGCTTTTTCATAAATAATACAAACTAGCCATTTCTATAAACTCAGATCATGTTTCCAATGACTGGATTGAAGAGATTATCCGGTCTGTTAATAGTACATTCCGAACATCCTAATTGGAATACGTTAATCTGAATTAAAACTGGGCTTTATTTGCACCTGCAACATAGTGGCCCAAATGCACCAAACCTGACTTTTGCTGCTCTTACTTTTGCATTAGCAAGAAATATTGTATATTGCAGATAACAATTAAAGCAGATTTTAATTTATTAAAGTGTCACGAGTTTGGAGCTATCAAGAGTGGCAGAGATAAAAAACTATATGCCCCAGCTGTTGATGACTATAACATACAGTCCCAGCCAAACAAATCCAGAAGGACTTAGAGGCATGGAGTAAATTGAAATTATCACTACTAGGCAAAATTGCTTCAATTAAAATGACAATTCTACCAAAAATACTATATCTATTTAGAACAATACCGATAAACCCAGGAAAATTATATTTCAAAGACCTTGATAAAATGACATTAAAGTATATATGGCAAGGAAAAAGAGCCAGGATTAAACTGAAACACCGGCAGGACACCAAAGAAAGGGGTGGCCTGGGACTACCAGATTGGCAAACTTATTACACTGCAACAGCTTTAACTTGGATTAAGGATTGGATGACACTCAAAGATAAACGAACACTAGCACTAGAAGGATTTGACTTGTCAAAAGGCTGGCACGCATTTTTATGGGAGGAAAAGCCGAGACAACATGAACACTTCAGGAGACATTATATCAGAGGAGCATTGGCAAAAATTTGGACTGAAATAAGGAGAAAACACTACGACAAAATCCCAAGTGGCTATCAACCATGGAGGCCCAAATCTACCCGAACACAATGGATACAGACAAGATGAAAACCTATGATGAATTGTTGAACACAGAGGGAGATATGAAAACAAGAGAGGAACTGAGACAACAGGGCACGGATATTGATTGGTGGCCGTATTTACAGATAAAATCAAGATATAAAAGTGATATGGAAAAATTTGGAATCCAAAAAGAAAGAAATGAATTAGATAAAATTATAATGCAATCAGACGACAAATTAATAACTAAAATATATAATTATCTACTAAAATACAAATTGGAAGAAGAAGTGGTGAAGGAAAATATGATTATTTGGGCTAAAAACTTTGGATATAATATTAACCTAGAAAATTGGGAAAAAATATGGAAAGTAAATACTAAGCTGACAATGTCCGTGCCCTACAAAGAAAATACATACAAGATGTTTTATAGGTGGCATCTCCCCCCTGCACGGTTGGCAAGGATGTTTCCCAATACTAATCAGAACTGTTGGAAGTGTAAAATACAGAAGGGGACCTACTACCACATGTGGTGGTCATGCCCAAAAGTCAAAAAATTTTGGAAAACAATTCAAAGTCAGCTGGAAGAAATTACCGCCCAAAAAGTACCCCTCAGACCGGAAACTTACCTATTAGGTATACTGACAAAGGACTATAAAAAAGAGATACAATACTTGATAATACACATCCTAACTGCAGCTAGAATCGTCTTCGCACAAATGTGGAAATTGGAAAACACGCCACCAGAAGAAAAAATAATACAAAAAACAATGGAATGTGCAGAAATGGATAAACTGACCAAAGAAATACAGGGAAAAGAAGATACAGACTTTTACTTAATTTGGCAAGAATGGTACAACTGGTTAGATAAAAAAGACACGAAATAAGGGAATACCACCCAATGATACAAAAATAAGGAAATAAAATGAAATATCGTTATATAAACATTGATACAAGATGAAAGACAATATATATAGATATATTGATATATAATTACCGAAGTAACTCTATTTTCAAAGTTCAAGTTCTATGACTTGATTTCATTGTATAGTTAGTTTATGTTTAGTTTGTTTAAACGTTTGTCTGTATGTGTATGTTTGTTTACAATAAAAAATTAAAAAAAAAAAAAGAGTGGCAGAGATAAAAAACTATATGCCCCAGCTCTTGATGACTATAACATACAGTCCCAGCTTTTGTCGTGTTCTCTCTTTAATATAATTTTTAATTAACAATAATAATACAAACCAAAAGAAAATAAGAAAGAAGAAAAAATGACACTGAGAGCTAAAAAGTGCATAAAGGAAAAAATAAGCAGGTTTAAAAAAAGTAGAAAAAGATATAAAAACTGGTTTCTGATATTCAGTGTTATATTTTAAGTTCTCTCTTCACCAACCATTCATCCATTGTAGTATTGCCAAATTTTTCCAGCTTTTTTTACAAGTTCACCAAACATGATAAAATGACGATTTCCTTGCAAGACCTGGGGAAGATGGATTCACATGGCCAGCAGCCTACTTGTGAACATAAAACACTGTCATTTTATGCATCAACACTCAAAATTTATCAGATGATGGCTTCTGGTTTGTGCTTGAGACTAATATAAACTAGACTCATTGTGCATCTAGTTTCCTTTATTAGCATAGAGTTTCTCACTTGATATAGATGTTCCACTTCTATCACTTCCATTCCATCTTTTATAACCTTTTGTCTCATAAATTACCTTCGTTTTATATAGCTCTTATATAAGTGTTAGTACTTTGTATTGATTATAATTATATTTTTATGTTTCTTTTAATGATTATACCTCATCTCTATATGTTGGACTATAACAATAATAAAGCTTTATAATTTGCTGTATGGGAAATTGTAATGAAGAGAGTAAGTGGTAAATAGAATGAATCAATGAAATGAATAAGGAATTACTTTATGTAATACTTACAAAAATAGTAAATAAAATGTTCTGAAATTTTACACACATACACACAAATACACTGAGTATTGGGATAATTAACTAAGCATATGGAAATCCAGGTTCTAGTTTTCTGGACGAAAAATGGTAATATGATTTGTCTGAAAAAATGAATGTTTATTAAAATAAAATGGCTGTGCATAGGAGCATATATCTGCCCACTTGTTCTATAAAAATGAGAGCTGGGTATGTTGTAACAGTAAACTGAATGAACTGAATAGGAAACAAGGAGGGATGCAGGTTAAGAATGAATAAATGAATGTGGATTGAACACAGAAATGAGTAACCAATATAAAATGAGTTTGTTGAGGTAATTGGCCTTGTACAGAAAATGAATGAGGATTCCGTTAGAAAGCAATATAAAGGAAGAATGATTAGGTTGAGAGGTTGATGAAGTGCGAGAGATAAGAATTGTGAACAACAAAAGGCAATGTGTATAGTGTTGTCTGGGCATAGTAGAACCAAGAATAGTTTGTAAGGAAAGAAAAATATAGAAGAGAACAGAAGATGGTATAAGTGTAAAACAAATTCAGTCATTTCATTTTCCATTATTTCTTACTTTTCTGTTTTTCACAATATTGTTGCTTGTCCTGAAAGGGTGTAACATGATAAATATGTATAAATAAATATAGTATAAATAAATATAGAATTAAGGTTGTCTCTGGACAGATTGTGAACAGATTTCGTTGTCAATATCACAACTGAGATTGCAGTCACATTATACAAAAATCTACTTCTTCCCTACTCCCATTTTTCCTTTCAGCAGTCTAGTTTATGGTGAAAAGTATACCTAATTCTTTGTTGTCAAAGAATTGGGAGTACAGAAATACTAGAATTTATTTAAATCTACACATAATCATAGAAAGAGCCATCAAGGTCATCAAGTTCAACTTGGTTTCTATTGGTCCACCCCAAAATATCTTAGTTATAGGCATCAATTATTGATCTTTAAGTCTCAAGGATATATTTGTCTATGAGCTTTTACTCCTTATTCTAATTTATACTTTTGCTTTTGGGCACAAAGTGCTTTCAGGCCTTAGTATAACTTCAGCTAAAATATGCATAGACCACAGAAAAGTAGACAATACTTAAGTACAGTTATTTACTTTTTGGTCAGGTCTTGTTCTGCTGTATCTAAAACCAGATCCAATATTATCAGACTGTTGAGAATAGGTAAGATTGTTATTATTTTCTGCATTAACAAAATATGTGAAAAATACCTTCCAAATATTAAATCACAAACAATTTATCACATTTATAAAAGCCAGAGAAAGTTGTCCACTGTTTATTCTACATTGGTACACACAAGAATTATTGATAATTGTGAAATGTGAAATCATTTCTTAATCAACCAATTTCCATTGCTTTGTTTCCAAATTCCATCCAAGTTGTTAAAATTACAGGTCCAATGTTACTTTCAAAGAGGAGAAATGAGCATTCATATATAATGTACTGCAAATATCAATTTTTCCAAACATAGTTCATAGATTTTCAAAAGGTCCTTTATAAACTATTTAAATCTTTTAAAGTTCATCCCTAGAGAAAAAGAAATAATTGACTTTTATTACATCACACAATAATTCTTTCTTCCTAAAACCTAATGCTAATATTTGGCTGTGAATGAAAAAATACTACCAAAGGTGGCTGTTTAGTGTTATATAAATACTGAAGTTTTTGAGTAGTAAATTAATACTAAATCATGCTTTCCAGTTTTGGATTAAACAAATAATTGTGATTAGAGCATAAATAAGGAAGAATGGGCAAAGCATTGTTTTATTTTTTTTCCAACTACTAAATTTATTTTACCATTGTTAATTTTAATTCAAAGAAGTTCATAGGAATGCTTGTTAAATCTTGGGGTTACAATATTCATAATAAAACCCTTTAGAACATCAATATTAAACTGAAGTATATGTAAATTCACATTTATAAATACACCTGCTATCCAGTCACATGCATGTTTTTGGGAAAGCAAGTTCCATGAAGCTAAAATACGGTAGAATTTAACTTGCAGTTTGCATGTATTCATAGCATTAAATGTTGGAAAATTAAAACTGTTAACATATCAGAAAGATAAGAGAGATTCTGAAATCATTCTCATTTGGAGTAAAATGTTTGAACAGTGGTTTTGGCAAAATTATGAGCTCTATTTGAGATTTTGTTTTCTAAGATTTCATTGCTTGTCTGCTTAAGGGGAGATAATTCTAGTTTCTATAGTGGTTTTGTTAGATTCTATTCTCGTATTAGTATCTTTACTTTGCCTAGCAAAAGCCAATTGGGACACCAATTCACTAGTCTGGTAACTTTACAAAAGAAAAAAATGTTTTAATATTTTACTGAGGCCACTGTTTTTCTCTGTCTGTCAGAGGAACATATATCACACCCATCAGACGCGTTTCCACAATCTGGCCATCCATCGTTTTGTCAAATTGCATCATAACCTGGTTTCCATTTTCTGGCCCTACTGGCAAAATCAGTCGTCCTCCAGGTTTCAGTTCATTCAGCAACTGATAATACACAAAAAAATACCAGCAAACATGGTAAGGCAAATTAAAGACAAAAAAAATTAAGCTAAACAATGAGCATCCTAGGAAATATAGTGAAAATAAAGTATTTCTTGAGAATGGGAACATTGCCATTTATTTTTAACTCAACTTGTTCTACGTACTTAATTCCTGAAAGATTCTAAGGCAGATATCTAGCAAAATACAGTTTGTTTTGGTAAAACATGAAAGTTTAAATCTCATAATGTAAGGAAAGAAATATCAAAAGCCTCTATATTTGAAGTATTCTTCTGAGTTTATATTATTTAGGGCTAATCTTCCAATATGGGTTACAGTTCCACGGCATTTTTGGAATGCTGGAAAACAAGATTATTGTTTACTGAACGGAACTGAGATGGATGTGTATCCTACCTCCACTGGCACAGTGGGTGCAGCTGCACCAACATGGATGGCATCATATGGGGCGTCTTCGGGATATCCATTCCTACCATCCCCAACTGTGGAGAGAGAATGTAGACAATGAAGGTTTTAAGCAGAACAAAATGATTTTTCTCATTCACAATCCATTTTCTATTAAACTCACAGGTGACATTAAATTAGTGTCTAGTTTAAATTACAGAAACTCTATATGTAATACAAAAACACAAGAACAACAGAGCGAAATGACAGTTAAATAACAAGATATATGCAACCTAATTAATCGTCAGGGTCAGGCCTCATAAACACAGTTTTCTTGAAAAAAAGAGGATCTATTTTGAAGTAGAAATATCACACTATGGATATCACTAGAGAAAAGGTTTCATTCAGTAGTTCAGTATTATAATTTAGTCTCTTATTTTCCAGTTAGAAGGAGCTTTAAGAAAGACCCAATAAAGAACTTCTGGGTAAATTGAAAAAAAGTCATATGGGAAGCAGTGAGTATCAAAACATCCAGATTGTCCTATTTACCATAAAAAGAATTATTATATAGAGATAATTCTTTAGGCAACTCAGCCCTGTAGCTTTGAAAAATATATTTTAAGAATTATCTTTCTAGAATGCTTTCTCTACTGTTGAAAACAGCAAGCACCTATCAAACACCTTTAGAGTGCTCCATGGCTTAGGACCTGGGTATTTACGAGACCACCTTCTGCCACCAATAGCCTCCCACCGACCAGTACGCTCCCACAAATATATTTTAAGAATTATCTTTCTAGAATGCTTTCTCTACTGTTGAAAACAGCAAGCACCTATCAAGCACCTTTAGAGCGCTCCATGGCTTAGGTATTTACGAGACCGCCTTCTGCCACCGATAGCCTCCCACCGACCAGTACGCTCCCACAGAGGGGCTCCTCAGGGTGCTGTCAATCAAACAATGCCGACTGGCGGCCCCCAGAGGGAGAGCCTTCTCTGTGGGGGCACCTACCCTCTGGAATGAGCTGCCCCCGGAGATACGGCGGATCCCGGATCTACACACCTTTCGCCGTGCCCTAAAGACGTTTTTATTCCAACAAACCAGGCTGGCCTAACTCTTTTAAATTGTTTTAATTTCTAAACTGTTTAATTATGGGTTTTAATACAGGGGTGCTTTTAATTGTGGGCCCAATTAATTTAATCGGATTTTAATACTGTTTTTAAATTTTGTGTTTCTTGTGTTTTATCTGTTGGCTGTTCACCGCCCCGACTCCTTCGGGAAAAGGGCGGTATATAAATATAAACAATAAATAAATAAAACCAGAATTGGTACCACAGCAACAAAATAGATAACTTACCTAAAAGTTTCATTCGTCCAGAACTAAGTAAGTTTGGATCATCTTTTCTGACGTTCCTAAGGGATTCATGAACCAATTCTTCTATGTGCTCAATACCTATTGCCTTGCCTGTGGGGCCCACCTATAAAAGAATTTATGTATACTTCAAACTCTATTACTACTTCAAATTCATTATTTTAGAAAAAATGGAATTAATTCCTTATGAGTTTAGTAAAGATCCATGAATTCTAAATAGAATTTTAGAATTTTTTAACGTTGCTTATGTAATTGGAAGTTATACTCACAAGCAATTTATTTGCAACTGTCTCAGACTTGCATCTCGTTTCCAGTTCCAATGTGAGGGGAAAAAATGTGTAATTTGTATAAATCTGACCTCAAAGCTAAATTCCACCATATTCAGTAGAACTCACTTTTGGTTTATCTCTTTGCAGTGCTAAAAATTATATTGCCAGAAACTAGTGGAATAATTAAAGAATGTTCAGTATGGGGTTTTGTCCACACACAGAGAGATGCAAATCAATTTTTTGTGTTTTCCATTTAACTTTTCAGAGTTTAAGTTTTGTAACAGCCAGACAGCAGATATGTCAAGTTGACAGAATACTAACTAGAAAAAACATTCCATCTGTAGCAAGAAGAGTGATTTTTTTTTTGCTAAAAATGCTTTTTGCTTACCATTCTAGCAAAACAAGCAGTAAGATAGCCACTTCCTGATCCTACATCTAATGCCTTTGCTCCTTCCACTAGCTGATCCTTCAGTAGCTCAAGAGCGTGAGCATGCTGTAGAAACAAGCATTATACATAACATTACACATTTTCTACATAACTTATTTTCACAGTTTTTAGCTCAGTCCTGTCTTGAGTGAGATGTATTGAATGACTATTTCCATTACATCAAACCACCAACATGCTGGGCTGAGAAAGGAAAAGGTTGCAGTCCAATATATTTGCATGGCACTAAGGTGGAAATAACAATTCTTTTTTACTATATTCTAATGCCATTTTTCTTTCAGGCAAAAAGAGAAACAAGTTAATTCTTACCAACCGAGTCCCGGCAGACTGATTTCTGTAGCATAGGTATACAGGTAGTCCTTACAACACTTCATTTAGTGATCATTCAAAGTTACCAAAGCACTGAAAAAGTGACTTATGATTATTTTTCACAGTTATGACCATTGCAGCAGTCCCATGATCAAAATTCTTGGCAATGCTAGAGTAAGCTGCATGGAAATAAACTGATTATTCAAAGCTATAAACCTTTACATTGCTGGTCTCTCTGCTTTATTGAGTAAGTATCTTTCAATGCAAGAATGTCTTCATATTCTCTTTAATATAATATAAAAATGTGTCTTACCATGTGAGGTGCACTGATAGTAGCCTTGTATCCTGAAATAAAACCATCAATAAGGTGGGGTTTTCTCCATGCTAAGAACCATCATCCAAGCAACATTACAAACCCTTCATTTTCTCAATCCTTCCAAGCAATTAAAAATGTAAGATGGTGAGCAACCTATTAGTGCAGGCAGGTATTAGTTTTTAAGGAGGTAAGGGCTGTAAAGGGCAGGATTTTTGTTTTTGTTTTCTCAGGCTTTTCACTGAATCATATTTAGGGACTTTTTAAAAACCCTTTGAAGCCCAATCTAAGGTACACAATACCATTATATGATTTTCATCTCAAACTCGCAGATAATAATGCCACTGAACTTTAGATCTTTCAGAAACAATTCTGAAGCTGCCCAAAGTTGATTCAGTAAGTATGGACACTCCTGAATTAAGATTCTTGTTTAAAGTCTTCATATTAATTTATGTTCTGGAGGTGATCACTTGATTGTTAAAATTTACAAAATGTTAAAGATGAATCTGGAAGATGAATACTTTGAAGATTGTATGGTAAAATGGGCAAAAAATTTATGTATAACATATCTCTAGATAAATGGGAGAATGTATAGACTAATGGACTAAAATTTACAATAAATTATAGCTTGAAAGACATTTTTTATAAAATGATGTATCATTGGTATTTAACCCCAGATAGACTAGCGAAAATGTATAAAGGGACTTCTAATAAGTGCTGGAAATGTAGTCAAAATCCAGGCTCATTTTATCATATGTGGTGGTCTTGCAAATATATGAAAACATACTGGACAAGTATAACAATGACAATGTAGAAAATATTTAAGATACAAATATTAATGAAACCTGAAGCTTTTCTTTTAAGTATTATGGACAAGCCAATTGAACAACAATTCTTTCACATGATTACAGCTGCAAGGATTGTACTTGCCAAGCACTGGAAGAAAAGGGGATGACAACTATTGAAGAATGGATTTAAAATTGACTCAATTAGCAGAGATGGTGAAATTAACTGCTTTGATCAGTGATAGCAATAGCACTTCGACTTGTATACCGCTTCACAGTGCTTTATAGCCTTCTCTAAGCGGTTTACAAAGTCAGCATATTGTCCCCAACAATCTGGGTCCTCATTTTACCGACCTTGGAAGGATGGAAGGCTGAGTCAACCTTGAGCCGGTGAGGACTGAACCTCTGGCAGTCAGTAGAATTAGCCTGGAATACAGCATTCTAACCAATGTGCCACCACAGCTACAATAATAAACTATAAAGAGACTGGAAACTTTGTGGACTTTCTGCACACTAAAAACAGTAACAGTTAATACAATGATTTGAAGATTAGTGTAATGTTTAGCTTACTCTGTTGACCGCTTTTTCTTCTTTTTTCTTTTATCTACATATATTTGTAAAAGGGGAGAAGAATTTACTGTTTTTTCTTTTTTTTCAACATCCAACTGGGGTGGATTCTATGTGTTAAACATTAAATTTATTTGATATTTGGATCACCCTTTTCTCTTTTTTTATACACCATTTTTTTCTTTTTTGTTGTTTAGTGCTGGACATACGTTTTTGTTTTATTTTGTTTTTCTGTTTTCTGTTTTGTATTTTATTTTTTATGATAAAACAAAGTAAGTATACTTAATAAAAAAAGTCTTCATATTACCTTTATTACCTGTAGAATAGTTTGAATGAAACCATGCTTTTTAATGGCCTGGGACAGACATGAGGTTCCAAGCATGAAAACAACACATAATGTGGTCTCTAATACTGTAAATGGAACATTTCTTTCTTAACTGACAATAGTCTGCAATCTTACCAATTGACTGAGGAGAATCCATATATGGAAAATAATTGGTATAGTGGGCTCTATCGGTAGCCAGCATCGCAGCCTGAACACGTTGGGATTTAATCACACCATTTCCTACAGGAATAGAGAAATGAATACAGTATAAAACTCAAGTCTGTCCCAAAATGGAGACCAGCTCAGGGCAACTACAGGTCAGATATAGATCATATTCCTTGGTATATATCTTGTATTAGATTTTACAAAACTGAATTATCTTAAGTTATAAATCAACATAATTTATTTTCTTAATTTCTTAGCTTCTTAACATCCATCAACTATATACTAAGGAATATGATCTATATCTGAAATCCAGTACCCTACAAATATTACAATTCAGCCTCAGATTTTTTCTCTATTTCATATTAGAACTAGCATAAAATTATTTTCTATGTAGTCCTTAGATAACTGGAATTCATCACAAAACATAGTAACAATTTTCAGCTGGGATCTTTTAACCCTAATTAAATGTCAATGGATAATACAGTTATAAGTGCCATTATTCATATCATCGTCTTACATATTATCTTCAACATTAATTATTTGGAAATATAGAAAGGCATCCCATCACCATCTATCTGGCCACTGTAAAGCAAAATAGGAAGCCTTTTTGCCTAATATAGTTTCATGGCGGGAAAGAATCATACACCTTAGAATGGAAGGGGTGGATTGTCTACCACTTAACTCCCTGTAGTCCAGGGTGTCAAACTGGATTTCATTGAGGGCCACATCAGGGTTGTGTTTGACCTTGGAAGGGGAGGGGGGGGGTATGGCCAGCTTGATGTCACTTGTGTCAGGGGCACCTGTGGCCCTCCTGAGCTGTTTTTTCTGGCAGAGGGTTGCAGGAGGCTGTCCCAGCTGAAAATGGAGATTGGGAGCCCGTTTTTGCTGGCAGAGGCACTGCTGGCCGGTCCTTCACTATTTCCAGGATGGTCCCACGGGCTAGATCTAAGCACCCTGTGGGTCAGATGTGGCCTGCAGGCCTTGAGTTTGACACCCCTGCTTTAGTCTATTTAAGATTTCAGTGTTGTGTTGTTCCATTTGATATAATTGTTAAAAGAGATTTTTAATTGTCAAATTTACCATGCCACTAGAATTGTTAATTATGAAAAATGTCCAGGTACTTCAGCAGTGTTTTAGATGTCTGTCCTAACTGCTGTTTGTACTCACTATAAAGATTGTTGATCAGTTCAGCATGTGTCGTCCCAGTTGAAGTCCAAGCCATGGTTCTTGTCGGCAGCAGTCCCATGAGCAAAGCAGAAAAAGGCAGCAAATGGCTCATTGCACATAAATGTTTCCAATCCTTCCTAGCCAGTCACAGTGGGTTTTTAAAAAAAGGAAGCAAAAGATGTTTAAATAAAACTTTGTAGAAACAAAATCCTACATCAACCAGAAAGCAGACAAGATTAAGAATAGATGCCCAGAGGCATACCTAAATAGAAAACACATTTAGTGCTAAAGTTCAAAGTAAGCAGAGTTTTTCACATTGCCAGAGGGAGGCTGGAAATGAATTTAGAAGCTTGTTCACTTGTAATCCTTTGGTTGGTCATAACGTAAGAATCCAAATCTGAATTTTGGAATTCGCATCATTATAATAAAAGATCTTTAGCACCATTCCACTACAGCAGGTATTATGCAGTTTTATAAATGCAAACTTAGCTATTTTTATGCCAAGCAGCTCTGGAAGATAATTTGAAAGTTCTAGCTGATCACCAACACACAGATCCCTCCCCAAAATTATTCTGTCTTTATGCAGAAAGAATTCAGTTGCCTTTCAGCCTCAGCTTCCAAACTCTGCTTAAATTATTTGATCTGCTTTTTAGAAGCCAAATTCCTGCCGGTACCCATCTCACGACAAAAACGCGAGCTGTTCTCGGTTTTCCTCCAACACAGCAGAGGACTTCCAGGGCGACTCTTCTCCACAACGTTCCCTCTCCAGGAAACTTCCATCTGCTGCCTTTGACGGTATTCTTTTAGGCCAAACTTAGCCACTTTGACTTGGGTGGACTTCAACTCCCAGAATCCCCCAGCCATCCAGGGGGAATTCTGGGAATTAATTAAAAAAAATCCACCCATTTTAAAGTTTACCCAGTTTGGGGCACGCTGCTTCAGGCCTTCCTCCTGCATGAAAAAGCTACACGATTTTAGCACAGCCAATTCAAAAACTATATGCTGAATTCGAAGCTGTGCTTCTCCTGCCCACGATTCACTCAACTAAGCTAGTCCTCTGCATTCACACCGCACAATGACGCAGACTAGCCCTTCGCTAGTGGGTTCATAGCGGTCAGGACCTCTCAAAGCACCCGCCACCACCAAGTGACAGGGAGGATTCCTCTGTGCAAACGAAGTAAACCTACCCTTTCCACATCCCCACCCTTTCCAGTCCGTTACGCAACACTAGAAAGGAGAAGAGGCAGAAAGCTACGGTTCGTATCCCGGGAATTCCAGAAAACGCAGTTAACGCAAACGCCCTTAGGAATGCCCGGTTTCAAGATGTCGCCTGGAGGAGGAGGAGGAGAGGCTTCATTACTTTAAAGAGATAGATTAAAGAGATGACGTTTGCCACTTCCGTTGCTCTTGGCAGGCCGCCATATGCGGGCTGAGGGCTCTTGAAGCAAAAACAAACGACGTTGAAGCTCCTTCGCGAGTTTAAAGACTCACTTTTTCTGCGACATAATTCTGGTCTTTTCCTCCCCTCCGTATTTCTCCCTGGATGAATACGCTTTCTTCTTACCTACGGGAATAACGCTTGGATTTAATGTCTCTCCCAACTTCCTTTGAGGTCTGTTTTTCCAGCACTCCTGCCCCGCACATGGGCGACGCCACAACGGGCTATAACGGAACCGGAAGTTAAATAAAAATCCCAATTGACCGCGATCCATCTTTAATTCTTGGGGAATCGATGGTTTTTCTTACCTGCGTCTCCGTCCTCTTCGCCCATTGGCCAGCGCGGAGGCGAGAGGGACCCGCTCGCTCAGTGCCTTCTCTTGGCGGGGTTTGACTCGCGGCAGGTTTACGCATCCAGGTAGGAAGAGCCAGAGCTGCCAATCAGGGCGGGGGGAGGTGGAGGTGCAAGACCCATCGCGGTGGAGAACCGGAGGGATCCCTCCAGAGATCCCCTGGAAAGATCATTGTCGAAGGCCTTCCGTTTCTGTGTCTCGAGATTGGCGCATCAGTGCTATTTCGGCAATGCATCTCTCTTGGTAGGTGGGGCAAGCGGTGTATCTGTATCATGTTTGTTTGTTTTTTAAATTGCCCAAGTCATTCAGGGTTTTAATTTTCAAAGCCATTTTTTTTTTCTTTAAAAAGCTAAAAGGCTTTTATAGCAATACTTTCTCCAGGATAGCAATACAGTCTCCAGCTTTTTCTGGATCGCAACGCTCGGAATTCCCGGTCAGTAGGTTTGGGATTTTTGAATGGCTAAACGCATCTGGAGGACAGTAGCTTGGAAATTAGGAAAAACCTCAACCCTGTAGGAGTGAATTGCACAGCAGAACCAAATCCCCGAGGGAGGCGGTGCGACTCCTCTTCTTGGGGAGGTTCAGGTGGGTTAATGCAGCCATCTGCTGGGGCTCTCCAAATTGGATTTCTGCATGGAACAGCAGATGAATTCGATGTTTAAAGGGTCCCTTCCAATTTTATGGCAGCAATATCATTGAGTCCTCCAAACTTTCTTAAATTTTCAATTGAAAGCATTTAACAGCTTGCCATAATTCATAAATATACGTTATTTAAATGTTTTATAAGAAGCTGGCGTTTGATTTTGTCACAGTCTATGATACCTACAATTACAGTAGAGATTTGCCTTGGAAGCCTCTGGTGCAGTGGTTCTCAACCTTAGCAACTTTAAGATGTGTGGACTGGGGAATGCTGGTTCATACGCTAACTGGACAGTTCTGCAACTGAGGTCCACACAAGTTGTTGTGGTTTATAAACACTGCTCTGGTGCTATGCCCAGAGATGATATATTAGGATAAATGTAGATGCATATCAATTTGCTTAGCACATTGTAAGCTGCCCTGAGTCTCCAGAGAAGGGCGGCATATAAATCAAAAAATAAAAATAAATAAATAAATAAATAAATTTAAAGTTCAGATTGAATCTGTAAATTGCACTGTGAGGGCCATGCCAGCATTCTTTGCAGTTTTGGAGTTGACATTTTCCAGATTGCACTTTGTAATTCTTCCTTTTTTCAGAGAAAGTCATTATTTTAAACTTTGAAGTGTATTTTTAAATTATCATTTTTCCTCCAACGAATGTACAGATTACTTTCTGGCTGTTCCTCATCTAGGTAATGGTCAGGTATTATTATTTTTATTATTACTCTTATTGATCCTCGCACAGTCAGCCAGATGTTCAGACTGGGTTTGGCATTTTTGCCTACCTATTGAGTCCTTACCAAGGACCTGGGATAGGCAAATATAGATGTTTGATGATGTTACAGATATCATCGCAGGATGGAAGCTGTTCCAAGTAAAGCCACCTTCTGCAATTGACTGATGGCAAATTTGTCAATGCCTATGATGTTCAAGTGGTGCTCCAGTTGTTTTGGGATTGCACCCAAGGTGCCTATTACTATTGGTACTATCCAGAAGTGGGCTTCACATACTGTAGTAACTGGTTCGCCCAGCACTGGAAATGTGAGCGCATGAAAAAGTTGAATCTTTTTCTGTAGAAAATTCCCTGAGCATTTTGATTATAAACACTAGGAAAAAAGGAAGAGTCCGCAAAGTTTTGTATGTTCTACAGCAGATAATTTGACACCAAGAATTTTAAATGGGTAGAGTTTTGAGAAAATTTAAACATCTGCTTTTTTTAAAAAAGTTACTCTTCTTGTGGTCCCAAAGTAAAAAAAAAAGAATATATGTCAATATGATGTTACATACCTGGTAACTCACACATCATTTTCTTTTCTTTTCTTTTTTTCAGAATTGCTGCATCATGATCATGACTGAAACGGTTGATTCTCTAGTTATGGTTTCCAGCCAGGACCTCTGGACTGAAATCTGTTCATCTCTGCCACATCCAGATCAGAATGAAGAGACCAATAATACATTTGCAGATTCCTTTGCAGATTCTTATGTTCACATGATGGAGAATCAGATGGAAGTAACAGGCCCCTCTCTGCAAGTGAATGAGAAGCCCTGGGTACCATTGAAAGATTCAGAGCTCTACTTGGCATCTTTAGGTCAGTATTGAAGTATTTTCTAATCTAGGTTTATTCACAGGAGTTGATACTTTCTTCAACCTGGATGTGCAAGATTTTGAATCCTATAATTCCAATTACAGATAACGATATTATTGGGAGGATCATAGAGAATTGTGAATCTACCCATTTGACACATATTGTCTATAATTGTAAAGCCGTGTTTTTCAAACTTGGCAACTTAAAACAGGTGTGGACTAGAATTTCCCAGCCAGCATTCTGAGTGAGGAATTCTGGGAGCTGAAATGCACACATCGTTTAAAGTTGTCAAGCTATAAAAAATACTGCTTTGAAGGATTATGGTCAAAGTCTTTAAGACTGATACAGATGCACTTTTTAAACAGTACATCTGTGAGGTTCATCAATTGCATAAGTGATTATTGTACTTCCACGGTTTTTTTGGATATTGTCCGATAGTCTGTGACATCAGAAAGATTCCCATTTTATTTTTAAGATTTGTGACACTAAGGTATATCGTATCTTCCTACCTGAGATTTTTCAGAGATGCAAATGAAAAATCACTGCCTATTTTATCTAATTTGGTTTTTTAATTAAACTTTGTGAGAAATATAACTGAAATGATCATCTTTTTCAATAATTTACGTGTTGAAAAAAAAGAAATCTAATCTATCAGCCAATTATCTTCTTAATGCGGATGAAATTCCTAAAGAATATAAAGATTTCTATTCCACTTTTTTCCTGCCTGTTGTGCATCAGTGGTGGGTTGCTATCGGTTCTCCCTGGTTCGAGAGAGCCGGTAGTGGAAATCTTGATAGGAGAGCGAACCGGTTCTCTTCGAACCTCAGCTGGGCTCTCCCCCCCCGCCCCCGCGCTATACCTATCTTTATTTCTTTTGTTTTTATCTCAGCTGTAAGGCACAGCAGAGTGGATTGCCATGCCTCAGCTGTTTATGCACACAGCGATCACGCGCAAAGCGCGTGTGTTACCGGTGGTAAAACTGGTTAAAACCCACCACTGCTGTGCATGTAATCATGCCCGTTTTCTCATGTGAAATATTTGTAGGAATAATCATGAGCCATGATCCATTAAGGAGAGTAAAACCCTTTCTTCTTTAAATATAAATGCCACTTCGGTGCACAGGTTTCTCAAAGTATATTCTGATTTGGATTTGAGGCAGTAAAAGAAAAATGTTAAAACAATGGCTTGGTCCATGCTGATATTTTTTTATCCAGTCCCCAACTAAATAAAGCTCTGACATGAAGCTTTGACATTAAAAGGATCTGTCAGAGTATATACACACTGTTAACATGGTTACAATTTATACAAAACCTCAAGAGTTGAACTGAACATTGCTTGCTTTAACCTGCCCACTGGTTTTCATTTCTCTACAGGCTGTATTATTCCTTTATTAGTTTGTTTCTTTCCTCAGAGAGAAGATTAATGAGAATAAAGGGTCTGTCTCAGGAAGTGACATCCAAAGATATCCTGCATACACTTTCTCAAGCTAAGAAAGAAAGTTGGGACAGGTTTCTGCAGGAGAAGTCTGAATCTGACTTTTATATGGAGGGAACGGATTCTGATGAGAGGTAATGCTTGTATAATAAATATTTTATACATAACACCACTTTTAAATATTTGTCTTGTAGAAATTACAGGTATTATGGGAGAAAGGATATTCTGGGGCATTTATTTATACTGTAGGGGCTTCTGATACACCTAAGGATGTTTTTAGTGATAAAAGTCAGTTTAGAAGGAACGCCAATTGAATTCAGCAAATATGTCTTACTTTCTTACTTATCCCAACCAAAAACGTCTTTCCATTCTCCACATGTGCAAGATTGGGACTAATATTTGTAGCTAATCTGGTGAAAAGATGGTATGTGTTTTGGATACTTTGTGAGTAAGATGCCATTAAATCAAGCTTGATTTCTAGTGACACTGGACAAATACCATCTCAACAGGTCTCTGTGTAACCTGTAGTTGTACTAAAGATGTTCCTGTAAGATTTTTTAAAAATCCTCTATCTACGTTATCTGTAATCTTCCCCTTCTATTTTCCTTCAAATCAAAGCATTTTATTTCGTTCATTGCCTGCTTGTAACACAGGTACCAAAGATTAAAGTTTCTGCTTGCTGTTCATTAATTTGAAATGACTAGCAAGTGATTGATTGGTTCTTCTTGCAGTCCAGCATCCTTTTAATTATGGATTACAAATCTGTAATTCAAAGCTACCTTCTTGCTTTCATTTTTTTCTCAATGCTCAATTACTGGAAAACCTTTGAAAAAATTGTTGTTTTAACTCGGGATGACTCATCCTTGGCAATGTGAAGATGTGTGGACTTCAACTTCTAGAATTCTCCAATCAGCCTCAACATCTAAAAATTGCTAAGGTTGAGGAATACTGTTTTAACTATTCTGAGGTTTGTTTTCAAAATATCCTTATCCTTCATTAACTGGGTAAGTGCTGTTGCCTTTCCATGTAGGGTTAGTTTCCTCCTTTTTTCCAGTTTCAAGATTCCAGTTTCTCAGCACATACAGTACATGGTATTCTGCACTTCTTCTAAAGGTCTTCTTTTTTAAAATAATAACTTTTATATCCACTTACTGTATTTTTTGGAGTATAAGACGCACCTTAGTTTTTGGGGAGGAAAATAAGAAAAAAGCTGATTGGTGGGTAGATCGGCCTCCCGGAATACCCCCAATCAGTTGTTTCCAGAGGTGAATTTTAGCAACAGGTTTGTTGGTTGTGAGCTCTATGCCTTGCTTTTTTTGTTTTGTTTTGTTTTATTTTTCTGCCTCTGAAACTTCTGAAACTCTATTTCAGAAAAAACTTTTTTTTCTGCCTCTGAAAGCCTCCGAAACAGAGCTTCAGAAGAAAAGCCTCTGTTTGGAGGCTTTTTTTCTGAAGCTTCTTTCAGAGGCTTTTATTCTGAAGGACTATCTTATTATTCTATTTTTATTTTTATTATTCATATTTCTATGCCGCCCACTCTCCGAGGACTCTGGGCGGCTTACACCAAAGACAGTATACTAAATAGCATATTGCCCCCAACAATCTGGGTCCTCATTTTACCCACCTTGGAAGGATGGAAGGCTGAGTCAATCTCGAGCCGGTGAGATTTGATGTGCTGATCTGCTGAACTAGCAGTCACCTGAAGTAGCTGCAGTACTGCACTCTAACCACTGCGCCACCTCAGTGGTTATCTGTACTCTGTTCAATCTCCTTTCTTTGGTATTGGTATGTAGATAAACCTTTTCTGATCTGTTAGTCATTGTGTCATTCTCCAGATTTGTTAGCATAGTTTGGTTAGAACCTTTACTGATTCTTCTTTTGTTGCTTGCCATATTATTTTAGATAAAAGCCTTTCAGAGACTTTTTTTCTGAAGCTTCTTTCAGAGGCTTCTTTCAGCCTCTGAAATCTCTGTTTGGGAGGCTGGGCAGGGCTACATTCGGAGTAGAAGACACACCCAGATTTTCACTCTCTTTTTTTGGGGAAAAAGGTGCGGCTTATACTCCAAAAAATATGGTGCATATAGCTATATATTTCTATTTACATATTATACAAAAACACACATCCCTGTTTCTCCTACCTCATTCAATTCCCCCCCCCCAAGCTTTCCTGAATACATTGCTTGCTTTTCTATGTTTCTGACTCTTTTTGACTGCTTTTCCTTACTGCTCTTTCTCAGTTCAACTAGGTTGATATTTCTTCTTTTCAGTTTTGGTTAGAAGCCTGGCTAGCATTTTCAAAGCCAGTGAGACTGCACTAGCATGTGATAACAAAAAACTGATTTATTTTATTGCACCCTTTTCTTTTTTCTGTATGGGTTTGGAATAATGCCCCTGAACTAGTGAACAATAAATTAGAACATGCATATTGGGTAAAACCTGCACATTTTCAAGTTGCAGTTTATATCTTGAAGCTTTTGTTCAGGAAAATTGAAATAAGGAGCAAGCTGTTACCTTCTAGTTTGCAAAAACTCAGTTCTATCATTTCTCTTTGATTTTGCTAAGCAATTACTGTGCCCCTGTTACCTGGGAAATCTGGTTTCAAAAGTGAATGTTTTCTTCTTCACTTTTCTACCGACTTGTTAAATTAGAGTCCTACGAGAGAAGTATCTTGATTTGACTCTTTGACATTTTGTATACTTCTTTGAATATTCATGGCAGAAACATTATTTAAATAAGAAACTAAGTTGTCATTATCCGTGTGTGTGTGTGTGTGTGTGTGTGTGTGTGTGTGTGTACAATCTGCTATGGATTCCATAGGGATTCCATAGGGAGCAAATGTCAGGACTCTGCTCCCATGAGACTTTGCAACAGCATAAAAACATTAGATTTAAGCAAAATCTTGATAATGTTTGTCAGGTCTCAGTGCTTGTCTAGTTTCTAGTGTTTGTCTTGCTTTAATTAAAAGTCTATAAACCACAGTGTTTAAAAAAGACATATCCTACTGGAAATTGCATCCAAGCAGTGGTTTCTTTTTTTCACCCTTTTCGTTTGAAAATTACATTTAAAGACTTGCATGGGTAAAATGTATGCATCACCACCCTCTGGGAAAAAAATGTTTGCCAGACCAGACTCCTGTCCTAATAGTATAAATCATAAAAGAGCTTGGATTTTACTGCCACTAAGGAGAATCTTCAAGGGAGCCATCTCTCTCTAAAGGAAGAGAGAAAGAGAAAGAGAAAGATAAGCTTGCTTTCAAGTACAGAAAAGAGAAATTTTGACAAGTGAAGAAAGAAAAGAGATGGCTAGGAACAAAGCCAAGGCAGTACTAGTTGTGAATAGATGCTAACTTGTAGTTACAGATCAGAATGCTTATCTTTCATGCCTTTGGGCAACTGAGCCCATCATATTCTTCCTAATCCCTTTCTTTACATCTTCTGTTTTTAAGTTGTAGGATTGATCTGAAAGCAGTTTAGTCTGAGGTTTTTGGAATCTACTTTGAGAGTCCCTTCAGCTTAAGAAAAGCGCTTTAAATAATGTTAGCTATATTTAAATGTTTGCTGCATTTCTTGTTGGCTATTGACAATAGCCAGTGGCAACAGACAGACAGTGCAGTATCAATTTAATCTTCATTCAGTTGAGACTGATTGTCAAATAAATTGTGCTTGTATTTGTAGTTTCAAGATTCAGCTACAGATTTTTTGGTTCTTGTTCAATAAAAGTGTCAACACACAGTGTGCATCAGCTGTAAAAAAAAAAAAAAGGCCAACAGCCTGTTAGCGATAATAAGAAATGCTATTGAAAAATAGAGATGCTAATATCATAATGCCTATGTATGAATCAATAATGTGCATTTGGAATGTTGTGTGAAGTTCTGGTTACTACATCTCGAAAAAAAATATAGAGAAGTTAGAGAAGGTTCAGAGGATGGTATCTAAGACAATCAAAAGGCTGGAGCAGCTGCCCACTAAGGAAAAGTTGTGACATTTATGGCTTTTAGTCTAGAAAGGCTGCAAATGTTGAGTTGTGCAAAATTATTCATGGTGTGGATAAAGTAGGAAAGGACAAGCTGTTTTCCCTTTCCAAAAATACTAGAAACAAAGGTCACCTAATGAAATTGAATCCTGGAAGGATCAGAACATTACTCAATGTGTAATTAAACTTTGGAATACTCCTCCAAAAAATATGATGCTGGCTACTATCTTGGCAGGTTCCAAACAAAGAGTTGGACCAATTCATGGAAATCATGGGTTTCCATGGCTACTAGCCTTGAGGCAGGGGGGATGCTTCTGAAGGCCATCTGCTGGAAGTCTGGAAGACTTCCTTATGCAGTTGGTTGGTCACTGTGAAGATAGACTGCTGGACTAAACGGGCCAGGGGTGTTAACCAGCAGGCCACTGTTTATTTTATTAAGCTTCACAGACCATCAAAATATCTAAAGAAATGATCTTTAGCTAATTTAGAAAGTTTCTAAAGAGGTTCAGGACTCCCTCTTTTCATCAGCAGACTAGCTCTCTAAAAACTGAAAATAATGAGTACTGCACAGATTTCCTGTGGAGGTAAAAACCAGAAAAACAGATCAATTTTGATCAAACCAAGAGTGGTAGAAAAAAAAACATCCAGAAGAAAATTCACCAATGCTTCCCTATGGAGAAATACAGTACTTACTCAATAGTTTGGAATGCTATTTATTGTTCCATTCTTAACCCCTCTTATTCCTGGTCATATGACCCACAATTGTCCTGTTACAGTATTAAGGGATTGGGAAACTCCTAAAGCTATATTTTACGTGTTTTTCCTACTTTGTTTTATTTATTTACAATATTTGTTTGTTTGTTTGTTTGTTTGTTCAATTTATATGCTGCCCTCCTCCGAAGACTCAGGGCGGCTTACAATGCACTTATAGCAATAGCCTTCATTCTTTTGTATATACCTGCTTATTAGGGCTTTTGGGCCCCCATAAGCGGTGTTTCTACAAAGTCAGCTTATTGCCCACACAATCCGGGTCCTCAATTTACCTATGTCGGAAGGATGGAAGGCTGAGTCAACCTTGAGCCTGATGAGATTTGAACTCGCACTAATTGCAGGCAGCTGGCAGCTAAGTGCTACATAACAGCACTTAGTCCGCTGCACCACCAAGGCTCTTAATGCTACATTTATAGCCTTCCTATGTTCAAAAAAAATGTCAAGGCATTTAATGTCCTGCTTCTTGCTATTGCATTCTCATAATAACCCTGTGAACTAACTTGTGTTGAGGAACTGACCTAGTTCACGAAGTGATAATCTGCTTAATCATATTATTAGCTATGCTATGATTACTGAAGCTGGCATTGTGATAAGTCATTAACCATAGTTTCCAAACCATGATGGCTTAATTCCCATAATCTATCATGGTTCAGCATGACCAAATGGGGATTCTACTGGAATTTTCAGAGAAGGTATATTTCAGAAACAGATTCCGCCCTTGCATACATGAATGAATAGTTTAATCATTGCCTGTTTCAGGGGTAATTAGTCTTTCTCAACTAGGTTCATTTCAAGGTTTGAAATGAACCTCATGGTTATATTCAGAAAATAACTGCCTTGGGAGATTTGCCTACTGACAAAAATGGTTGATATGGACAGTCACAAACCATCTTTTTCCAAAAAAGAAACTATCTTTCTATGATAACTAGGGTTCGTTGCCTTAGAAGAGTGAGGAAAATTCTCAGGGACAACTCTCACCCTGGTCACCACTTCTTTACCCTCCTACCATCGGGAAGGAGATATAGAAGTATAGCCAACTGCACAAACAGGCTGAAGAACAGTTTTTATCCATGGGCTGTCAGACTCCTGAATGAGAAATAACATCATAACTATGTAGTATGATGGACTGCAGGGCCGGTGCAGTGTGTAACATGCTCACACTGGTGCAATAGGACTGGGTGTTTTGTTAATATGATTTATTGGACTAGGGATTTTCTGTCTTCACTCTGAGTTGTATTGTGTTGGGGGGTGCACTGAGGGAGCTCAACCAATCTCATACATATGTTGTGCACTGACAATAAAGTTTTGAATTGAATTGAATTTGAATGATCTTCGTCAGACCCTGATCTGCTGAAGTATACTATTAATTCAATTTATTTATTAATTCAATTTGTATGCCGCCCCTCTCCGAAGACTCAAGGTGGCTCACAATGCATTTAAAACCATTATAAAAAACATTTAAAAATTAAAAACATTAAAACTCATTCACACCATTCATGGCCGGATCTCACCAGATCGCAAGAGCGAGATCAACGGCCCCAGGCCTGCCGGAAAAGCCAGGTCTTCACCGCTTTTCAGAAGGCCAATAGGGTGGGGGGTGGTCCGGACCTCAGGAGGTAACTGGTTCCAGAGAGCTGGAGCAGCCACAGAGAAGGCCTTCCCCTGTGGGCCCGCCAGCTGGCATTGTTTAGCTGACAGGACCCGGAGGAGACCAACTCTGTGGGATCTTACCGGTCGTTGGGAGTTATGCGGTAGAAAGTGGTCTAAAAGATACTCTGGCTCTGAGCCATGTAGGGTTTTAAAAGTAATAATCAACACCTTTAATTGTGACCGGAGATCTATACTAGCAAGTTAATTGTAGTTTTGCTTGCTTGTTTTTAAAAATAGGTGCAGGAAGCCTGATGTACTAATTTAAAGTCCTTTATTGGTGCCTACAGGCACCATATTGTCTACGCCTGTCTTATTTATTTACTGTGAACTGCTCTTTTAACCTTTCTCTTCTGCTTCTTCTCAGTACTTTGGAATACTTGAAACGTTGGCTACAACCAGAGAAGGTGGCAGTCAGCAGTGAGGAGATTCAGTATCTCATTCCCCTTGGAGCTCCTCCTGAGAAGCAAGAGGCTGGAGAAGATGAAGAAGAACCTACACCTGTAGAACAGTAAATGCAGTTGGATCTTGCCTCCCGCACAGATGTCTGTTGGCACTTTGGGTCAAAATACCAAAAGAAGGATAGAGTTTGATTGAAATAGACCATGTGGATTTTTCTTTCCACCAAAGTTTATAATGTACAGATTTTGATTTAAAGTCATATAACGTTGCAGATTGAAATTAATTGTGTGTAATTTGTTAAGACGACAAAACATGGTAGAATAACTCAATTTGGCCAACAGCTTTAAATCCTCTTGCCTCAAATGCAGAGAAGATTTTGCACTTAAATGATCATCTATGGAAAAATTCTTAGCAATACTTGCCTCACAGAATATAATTTCCTCATTCAGAACTCTCCTGATTTACCCACGGGTATCTTTTTCTTAACTTGGGGGAAAAAAAACCTCCGAAGACCTGTATCTTTTCCCCTGGGAAGTGAAAAATGTCTACCATCATTGTTTCTGGCTAAAGCTGAGCCACGCCACTCTAGTTTCATCCTTCGGTGGAATAAGCACTTCCTAGCAAAAATACAAGAAATGCTGGGTGAAAAAAAATTGTCCTATTTTGTGTAGCTTTTTTCTGTTATGGCTGTTTCTTTTTTTAATCATTCATTTCATCTAAGGATTGATCACCGTCTTTTCAAATGTTTTTTTTTTTCTTTTTGTTGCTTTGGGCTAATAATTATTCACGCTTTTTCTTCCTCTTATTTCTTTTGCTGCAAAAAGTAAAAGACAATGCATAATGAAGAAAAAACCCCCCAGAGCTGTCAGTTGAATGAAGAAGATAAAGTTTCATATAAGGGCAGAACAGAAATGCGAGTTTTTGTCGTAACCTTCCCATTTCACTTTTTTGGGGGGTGGGTGGGTGGGAAGACTGCTAGGAGGTAATTCTCCCATTCAATGCTACAGCATAGCTTTGGTCTTTCTACCTCCCCCATTTTTATCACCAAGCCTTTACAGTTTTTGCGTCCAATACTTCTTATCATTGGTTTGCTGTCTACTATAGGCTGTTTTGAAGATTTTTTGAAAATGCGCTTTTTTTTTCTTTTCTGTTTCCATGGAAATTATCGTTAACAGCTGTTTATGGAAATATTTGAGGACAGCAACTATCTGAATTTCATTGTTTACCAGTTGGCAAAGTTATGTAGTGAATTTCATTGTTTACCAATTGGCAAAGTTATGTAGTCAAATCTGAGAGGCTACATGCCACCTTGATGGATCTGAGAAAGGAGAAAAATAACTATTTTTTTAAAAAGAGTGCAACAATTACTTCCGTTGGTTTAGCTGTAAGACAGCACATAATTATATTGGGGAAGTAATATGATACTCCCACTAGGGGGGCGGGGGTTGCACTGAAATTCTCAACTGGAAGTTCTGATGTCTGTTTAAATGCATGTCATTGTTATACCTTGTTTTACGAAACAGATCAGGAAATAAAAGTTCACCAAATGTATTAGACAAAATGTTGAAAACTTGAGAAGTTTACATATTATTTCTTTACTGAATTGATTTCAAATGTAGCCTAACTGGATTGTCTGAATCTGGTAATATAATATGAATAGTGGATTGTATAGTTTGATTTTGCTTTGTCTGTAATCTGAATATTGTTTACTTGTATAATTAAGACTATTTGAAAGTTGATTGTGATGTTTTCTGTCTCATTCCAGTGAAAATATATATCCTTGTGTAGATGAATTTGGGGTGAGTTGGTAAATATTTTAGAATACAGATGGCTCACAAAACTATTTCTCCACAGAGAAATAGGTGCATTTTGGCCGGTGGAAAAGAGCAAAAGTGAAGCATGTAAACATTTGTTTATGTTATTAATTAAAGAAAGAAACCCCAATCCGCACACTTTAAGAAAAACTCATCCTCTTTGCTAATGTCATTGTGTCCATATAGTTTATAGTTACCCAAAAATTGTGGGGTGATTGCCCTGGCTATTTAAGAATTGGTCTCATGTGCCAGTGTGCAGTGAATGCTGCAAACAGGTGCATGGGACCAATCCTTAGAGAAGAAGTTCCTTCTGGATATTTCTATGTGAATCCGATATTTAAATTGTTACTGTTTTCAGAAATTCTTGTGAGGCCAAATAATTTAGAGTTGTAAAATGGATACTGAAGCAGGAGAATGCTAAAGGTCCAGGTGAGATGTAAAAAAGGCAGGTCAACCACAGGACAGTAACTATGTTAGTTATGGGAAACTCACTGCTGCTTGAATTCGTGTGAACCAGCCAATGTTGGGCAGCTTACATGAATCAGAAACTGGCAAAGGAAAAAGGTACCCTGGCACATTTGTGCTTCTTATTTCCATAATCAGAACATTACAGTAAAATGGAAATATCTCTGAATAATTATAAGGACGCTACTATAGGTGGCTTGTGTGAAGGACATTTGAAAACGCAAGCAAAAAAGGAATAGAACAAGTTGCTATGCCCCAAGTACTCTAAATGCTTATGATGTTTACAGTACTAATTACAGTTGCGCATGATTTCTGGCTAAATGTAAATGGCAGAGCAATTAACTAAGCAATTTCCAAATTCACTGGGAAATTGTTATCTTTATTGACAACTAGGACTCATTCAAATGATGAGTGGGGTACAGATTTAAGATATAAGGTTAGTACTAATAACAGCAATTAACACAGATTGAAAAGAAACATACATTAAAATCCCCAATGGATCATTGTTGATGGATGTTTTGTACCTTCAGATTCCTTGATATTTAGCCAAGAAGTTTAGAAAGTCTGGTAAACAGGTTCAACTGTCCTGATATTTGCCAACCAGAAATGTTTAGAAATGTATTATTTTCGAAGTTACAACTAACCATAGTCCTTGACTTATGACCATAATTGAGCCTGTGAGTTTGTGCATCGGTCATGACGGTTGTTACGTAGGTCACATGTGGCCAGACCTGACTTTACAACCTTTTTGCAGCAGTCATTAAATGAACCCTACAGTCATTAAACAAACCCATTGTTTGCTATAGGGCATTTTTAGCTGGAAACCGGAAGTAAATGTTGGTTTCCAACAAAAACATCATAAATTGTGGTCCCGTGACTATGGGATGCTGCCATAAATGTGACTGGTTGCCAGTTGGCCAAAATGCGATCATGTGACCATGGGAAGGCAAATCTGGGTCATAAATCCCTTTTGGTGGCATCTGTCATAACTTTGAACAATAATTAAGCCAAGGACTACCTATAGTGATTGTAGCAGTGCCTGCTAACTAGTTAGGAAAAAATGTCAAGAATCTGCCTAATTTCCTTATACGTACATCCATCAAAAGATATTTCTGAAGCATGGAATCCATCAAATGGATTACTGTGATGGCGCTGCCCATGAAGATGCTCAGAAGCTACAGCTGATCCAGAATGCAGTGGTGTGAGCAGTGATGAGTGTGCTTTGCCGGTATGAGATGATTCTGCAAGCTGCACTGATTACCAGTTGATTTCTGGGTGCAATTCAAGGTGCTGGTTATCACCTATAAAGCTTTTTATGCCATGTGGCCTGACTATTTGAGGAACTGGCTGTTTCCAGTTCTTTCTGGCCATCCAAGGATGATCATGCTCTGGGTCCCATGTAAGTAGAATCACCTTGTAGAGCCCAGGAAACGCCTTCTTTGTCTGCCCTTTGGAATGACATCCTCCCAGAGATCAGAAGGCAAATAAAAGACTTGGTTATAGTCGTCAGCTTTGGTTCAGAGCTCATGTTGGATGGTGATATGTTCTTTCTGGAGCCATTTGTGATTCCATTTTGTCCTCTTTTTTTTTTTTTACATTTAATTATAAGTTTCCCAGGGTCTTATTTTCCTACTGGGATGACCTGTGGCAGGGGGTGCATGCTTCAAGTAATTGAGAGTGAAACAAGCAGCGGGTAAGGCCAGAACAAAAAGAAGTGGGAACAACTTTCCACTACCTTTTCCCATGCTTTTTGAAACTCTCATTTCATTCCCAGGAAACAGACAGTAAAATCTCACCAATGCTCTGAATTAATATCTTGCAACGGGGTTTAGAAAAGAGGCCGAGAGCTATGCAAAATTAGCGTGAGGCTTATGTCCTCTGAGTCTAAGAAATATTAATCACGTTGATATTCGTGCATCTGCTTTGAAGAGTCCTTTGTTCTGTTGAAAGGGGAGGCGAGGGAAATTATTCTGATTTATTTAACAAATATGTATCAATCCCTAATACAGATCTGTAGAACAGGGAAGGGCAACTATCAGCCTCAGGCAGAAAAACAGAAGGCTCACTCTGCTTTAATCTCTTCTCAGTTGAGCAAGAATATTTTCTTAAAGAACCCCACTGCTTCCTTTTTACTGATTTCTATTTTAATGTCATTATTACCCTCCCATTACATTTTCTGAGATCTTCTGGGCATGACAATGGATCTCCTCCATCGTCATCCTCATGCTTTGGCAAATACCTCCCCCTCCTGGAATTAAGCTTGATCTCTCCTTTCCTCATATTCCACCAAGCATGTAAGACCCTTTTTTTTTTTAATTGATTTATATGCCGCCCTTCTCTGGAGACTCAGGGTGGCTTACAATGCGCTAAGCAATAGCCTTCATCCTTTTGTATATTTATACAAAGTCAGCTTATTGCCCCCACAACTGGGTCCTCAATTTACCTACCTTAGAAAGGATGGAAGGCTGAGTCAACCTTGAGCCTGGCGAGATTCGAATCTGCAGTAATTGCAGGCAGCTGGTCTTAATAACAGGGTGCTTTAGACCACTGTACTACCAAGGCTACTATTATTTACTTTACTACTTTTATTCCACGGTGCATTTGGTTCTGATTAGTTCTGGGTGATCATTAAAAGTAAATAGATTTTTATTTTTGTGTATCATGATTGCTTTTTCTTTAATGCTCCTTGTAAAAAATTCCCAGAATCTGCATGGAGTATAGCAGCTGACAAATATCTTCTAATAAATAATTGTTTTTTGTATAAATGGCAAATAGTTGAAAATTGAAACAGTAGTGCGCTTTATATTATACAATAAAAAGGAAAGAAGGCATGAGAACAATGTGTGCCATTTCGGTATTTCATGAAATGAGACAACTTTCCAATAATAGCATCAATTAGCTGTTATGCTTAGATAAACTGAGCCTATTTCGTTATTTGTTCATCATGCCAAATTATCTTTAGATAAACATGCTGATGCAGTTGTACTCTTCAAACTTAGCAGCTATTTATCCTCCTAAGTACACATGTGATGAAGATTGACTTGAAGGGAAAGCTTTCAATTTCCTCCTAAGGTGCTGTTTAATACAATTTAATGGAAAAAGCAATAGGAAATGCTGATTGCTTTTAAAGAATATGGGTTACCATAGAAATCACCTGCATCTGAAAGCTGCAAATTAAATATTTAATTGATAAATGTATTTCAATTTTGACTAATTTTATTTTTGGGTTTAAAAATAGGCAGAAAGAAATACAAGCATGGATTTCCACATGCCCATTGTTCATTCCTGCAATGAAGTAAGAATTTTCCAGTTACATTTCACTGAAAGGAAGGCATTTTTCAAAGATCTTCTCTTCGCCTTTCCTCTGTTCGATTTGATTCAAATTGTTTCAGAGTCAATGAATTCGAGAACAATAAAATCACAGCAAATTTAGTGAAGAGTCAAACCAGTGGTGGATTGCTCCCGGTTTGGTCCGGTTCTATAGAACCGGTAGTAAAACTGGCGGGAGGCTCCGCCCACCCACCATGACATCATCACGAGTGATCTGGGCATGCGCATAAGCTTCTGTGCATGCGCTCCTGCTGCGAACCGGTAGTAAAGGTAAGTGGAACCCATCCCTGAGTCAAACATATCTTGTGATGTGTATGTGTGAGGGGAGGGAGGGAAGGAGGGA